GAGAAAATTTGAGGGATCAGTGAAAGTATTAGAATTCCAACCAGCGGTTTCTAAGATTACTTAAATTACAAATTATACCTCTTCATCATATTAGTATGGATAAATGCCTTGTTAGCTGAGTGGTCGCAAGCGTGACTTCCGACTTCCGAGATACTTGTTCCCTGTTTAAGTCAAACACATTTATTCCAACTAAATAATACTTTTAAAACGTCAAAATGGAATGAAAATCTGTTGTGTAACAGTGGTTGGTTGTGGTTGTAGTCAGTAAAAGTCTGCACGGTTGCCACGGGAGTTTGGCAACTGGCTACCGAGCAACGTGTCGCGCGCGGGTGCGATTCCCGCACAGAACAACTCTTTGTGTGATCCACAAATTGTTGTTCCGTGTCTGGGTGTGATGTGTATTTGAAATTCTATGTTTGTAAACCGAAGACACAGGAGAAAATCCTAGAGTGGGGCAATGTTAAATAAATAAAAAATAAATGTTACATGCCTCGATCTCAAATCTAGAGCAATGATGGAGACCCGTAGTCGAAAGATAATAGAGGTAGGTAATAACAAATTGTTGATTTGTTGTGGTCATTGCTAAATCCAATGTGTGCGTGTAACGACGTGTCCACGATCATTGCTCAATTATTTCGTCGTCACATTTTCTTACGTGAACTTCGTAACGTATTTATGTTGGTAGGTAATTTAGATGTTGAATTAAATACCTGTTTTAACTTTCGTGAGACGTGCCACGTCGTGTGTGTCAATGGTGCTCACGAATTGGGGCGTCTTTCTTATAAGCAGGGTATCAAATGACTTCTGCTACTTGCCAGGATTCGTTGGTATGAGAACAGGGTGACTTAACCACTGGGCCAGCATGACACAATTTTTTTGTAGTTAATATTTCATATACTTATTTTATTACCTTAAAAGATCTGTTTGTTTCTTTATTTGATAACACTAATCTCCGGAACAGGTAGTTCAAATTAAACGATTCTGTATTGGAGTCCATTTATAGAGGTGCGATCTCAATGTTTTTTTTTTAATAAAAGTTGCCCCCACATTCAAATTTACTCCTATCTCTTGGATGCGTTTACAAACATACAATTCCACATACAAAAGACTTCAAGTTACGACCAATAGGAGCAGAGTAGGCAGCGGCAGAAACTGCGCAGAAGCAGCTAGTAGATATACCTTAATAAGTACGTTTTGTTTTCCTTAGATCTACGTTCCGGCAAACCACGAACTATATGTCGTAAATAATTATTTATCACTATTAAAATAAATAAAAGATGAAAGAAAATGGTCTTGTTATGTTGAATTTGTATTCAATACTTTCAAATTATAATAACATCTTTCAAAATTCAATTTAAATAATCGACACGCCGTTATACTTATTTATATCAAAAAATTAATTCGCATCGATTTCAGGGGGGTAAGTTTCCAAAAGGTTGACAGCATTGCCATATTGTAATTTCAAATTCTCCATTGTCGGAAGAACAAACCAGTCCTCTGCACAGATGCGTCGACCAAGTTCCTTTAACTTAACCTTTATGCAGTCACAACCATGGCCACAAAGTTTCAACCGCTAATGTTTAAAAAATATAAGTACGGTTTTTTTACTTCCCTAGAGCGAGGAGAGAGAGGCAGTGTCAGGGTCTTACTAAAACCATCTCCTGCCTTCTCCTGCTACAGGCTGAGGCTACGGTACTATATTGCGCTTGCCCACAACTGCAGCACCGGTGAGGTTGTCATATTTGTGTAGCTGCAGGTTTTGGCAGCAACCGAACTAGCACAATACAATGTAACGGGAAAATAAAAATAAAAACGCCCCCCGTGTCAATATTATAAAGACTTTCTCTACTTCTATGGCATAACGGGCATGCCGTCTGGTCTCTTACCATCATCTCTTATCATCATCCATCTTTGGTACCAAAACGGCAACAATTTAAGAGCTTAACGGATAATGTCAATAAATCATTAATGATGTCGTGCTATGCGGCCGGCGCCGGCGCTTCTGTAGCTTTTCGCTGATAGGTCAGCAAACGAGCTGACTTATGGTATGCAATCAGCGCCGCCCTTTTAAGGATTAGGGTTTTGGGGGTTTAGGGATTGGGGTAGCAAAAGGATTGGGCCTCCTCCAGGTAACCTCACTCACACAGCGAAATACAACGCTTTGATTGTTTCTCGCCGGTTTTTTGTGAGGCCGTCGTCTCTCCGGTCGAGCCGATCCATTCTTGCCTAAGCATGGCTCTCCGATACTTAAAAAATAGCTCGTTGGCATAGACCTTGTTGTCCGCGGTGATCGGCTGTCTCTCAGCGTTGACAACGATGTAGAGCAACAGAAAGATCACTTAGAAGCAAGCAAGCGGCAAGCTGAAAAGTAAAGTCATTCAACATGGTGCTAATAGTGTGTGATGGAAGTTCCTGAAGCCAAAGGTTCCTAAGTTAAAAGTTCCTACTGCCACTCACCAAGAACCAATAGGCAAGCTCGCTCAATGCTCAACAACAACAACAACATTAATTAAATCACAAGGTGAAAAGTTTTAAGAGAAAGGATCTATTAAACAGAAGTCGGTCAAAAACCTAATAAAAAATCAACAAAGTACCTTCGTATTTCAGCGTTAACTGTTTCACAATGATCCTTTATAAAAACTACGCTAACAAAAAATAATAAAATCATAATTTTACTATACCTAATAGCTATTTACATTTTTATTGTCAGAACGCAGGTTATTTATACTTAGATTCGATTTACTGAAATAAAATTATATTGAGACACACTTTAATATAGACACTTATTAACCGAATGAGTCACAGTCAGAAATTACCAAGTAAGACCTGAGTATACTCAATATAGTACCACGTAGGTAGGTACTAACTATGTGATGTGGTTCAACATCGGACAACCAGTTTTAGTAAAAGATTTCCCCATTTATCCTCCCCGTTCTCCTTTGGGCATGGAAGTTTTGAAATTAAAAGGTACTAAAAACAAACAATAGCATCACCTGATGGTAAACAATCGGCTTCGCCAACGGGCAGGACAACCGTAACACCAAAGAGTTACAAGTGTGTTGCCAGCCTTTTTAGGGTTGTTAATGATTTCGAATAGGTACGAATGACTTGCTGTCGTCTTGTGCGGTCACGAAAGAGTCCGGCACTTACCAGACAGTGCGTTCCATTCCAGCCCACATATGACTTTGGGCTTAACCAGCAACTTTAGTGTAGATTCATAAAAATATATCTAGATATTAAATTAGGATCATAATTACTTATCGTTAGGTACTAGCAGGTAAATAGTTTGTATCTATTGAGCTATAAGGGACAAAACTACAAAAGAAGTGATGAGCTATCCAAATAGTTAAGAAATGAAGATACCGCTACCTTACTAAAAAGGTTTTTTAGAAAACCATTAAGTATAAGTTAAGTAGTGCCCATGAACTACTTCGGAAAAGCGTAACACGTCTTGCAATCGTAAATATCATTCGGTACTTTGTTTAATATACTATAGATATAACTGTATAGATACCACAATAGATACTAACGATTTTAACAAAATAGTTTGATCAGCACGCGCCTTTAAGGTCAAGCACGCACCGTTTCACGACAAGTTTCACGCATTCATGTTGGCGAACTTATACCTACCACTGCACTCGTTCACAGGTACGCTGATACCTTGCAACCTTGGACAATTTCATTAAAAATGACAAAACGATTTCATATCAGTCGCGCGCAAATAATTTGTCGAATTTGTTTTAACCCTTACGGTAATCATTATTTGTACCTATTGACAAATAAGCTTTGCATGGCCGGCGCTCAGCTTATCAAAGTTTGTTTAGCCGAATCCGCACTGTCAAATAACTTAGACCTATATCTATAAAAAGTATAAAAACTAAAACCCAACTACGACAAAAACCGACGCTGAAAAAGTAAAAAAACAAGATTTTCAGAATACTGAAAGGCGTAGTCACACGTTATCAAAGTGCAGGTATGATAAGTAAATGTAACGTGTAATTATTTGGACTATTTTGGTGTTAAAGTATATTTGTGGCGCATAATATCAACAAATGAATTACCTAACTAATATTAAGTAGTAAAAGGTATGAACGAAAAGATGTGAATTATATGTAATCAGCACATGAATACAAGCAAAGTAACAAGCAAATGCTAGTTATATATATATATATATTCAAAATGTGCATGTTATATATATATTTTTTTACTGGTTGTTTTGTCCGCTATAGGACGCCACAATAGATTTTGTGTTTTCTAATAATATGTCATATGTCGAATTCTGATAAGTAGTTTAGAAGTTAGGAGGGAACAGATGAACATACATGCATACATACATACATACACAGCCTGTCTAAATCATAACCCTCCTTTTGCTTTGCCGTAGTCGGGTAAAAACTGCCTATATTCAGTACCAGAATATTTTAAAGTATGTAAATTTTACTGATTATATTGATACGTGCCTAATAAGTGAAATTCAAATGAGACAGAATTCTAAAGCAATACTTACCCACCAAAAATTTTTGTAATACAAAATTAATTTTGTTAACAAAAAAATGTGATACAATTTTAATTAACTTATTCAGATAGAAAAAACACATCAGGTTTCTAAAAGTAGTAGTAGGTGCTCACCTTTTACTTATGTAATTAGTTATGTACCGACACACCTACCAAGTTTTTTTCATATTCTAGTTCATGGGCCGCTACTTTTGTCTCATTTCAAAGTACCACGGTACCAGTAAAATTACAAGCAATAACAAAAAGAATAATCATTTGGTTTGATTTGGGTATTGTTAAGCATATTGCCACCGTCGCCATCTGTTGATTTTATTAAGAGACACATATATTAACCCTTTCGTACACCATAAAACGAAATGTCAAACGTAGTCTGTGAAATTTAGTATTTAGTATAGAGCCAACTCGGCTTGGACCTTACTAAAGTATGGGCTTAATTTAGTCTGTTCTAATGTTAGTCAAAGGTGCACCCCTATTGTAATGTTATTGATTTTTAAACGTAAACAATTATGACATTGACTTTTGACATTGACACACTGTAAATCCTACCGACCGACCAATACAGTAAATTCAATTATTGATTTCATTTGTATTCTGTTTTGAGTGCTTGTGAAAATGAAGAATATATTGGAAACTCTCATAAATGCTTCAGAAAAGGCAGCATGTGTCGCTCGATCCTGCTGTGCTGGTTCCAAGAACGAAGTATTATTAGTAGCAGAAAAGTTTGATGGCGACGCCAACGCCCGTTTTGAGAGAGATTTTAAAACCATTGCAGATGTTTTAGCGCAGGAAGCTGCTAAAACTGAGATAGCGAGGCATTTCCCAGAACTCTCAGAACATGTGAGAGGTGAAGAGTGTTCAGAGATAGGCGGGGTCAGAATTGAGTTGCGAGAAAATATTGAAGGGACCACAGATCTTCTGCAGTACTTAGTAGCTCCTGCCGTCGCAAAGCGAATGGCTGAAGCGGCTCATCGCGACACAGAGCATACATTCTGTGATAACTTACCCGATATTCCAGAAATTGATATATCTGATGTAGGAATTTGGATTGACCCAATTGGTAAGTGAGCAGGAAAATTTATTTTCATATTATCCCTATATACCTAATAATCATACTGTAATTATAGTAAAATTCAGAGTGAATAATTATATATCCTATTAACTGATATTGTTACACAAATTATAATTTTGTTTCAGATGCTACTGCTGAGTTCATAGCTGGAGTGCAGGGTCATGCTGATGCTGACCGAGGCCTTCCATGTGTCACAGTTCTCATAGGCGCCTATTTAAGGTCCACTGGAGAACCTATTGTTGGTGTTATCAATCAACCTTTTTATAATAAGTAAGATCCATATTAGATTTATCAGTTTTATTATTATAATTTATCTACAGCCAGAGCTTTGCATTATATTGTTTTTGCATTGTATTTATATTGTATTGTACTACTACTAACAAATATTTCTTGTTTTCACAGTGGCAAGGGAAGAGTTGTATGGGGAATTAACTATAAAGGGGCACATGTATCAGGTGGTAATGATATTCCAGACACCAATGAAAGTAATGTTATACTGATGAGTTCAGCTGAGAAACCAGATGTTGCTGATAAATTCAAGCAGGCTGGATGGGAAGTCAAGTCTGCTCCAGGAGCTGGACACAAACTTCTTAAAGTTGCTATAGGTAAACATTTATATTTTTCTCCAAAATATAAAAGACAGCATACTTACTTATTTTAGAATTAATCTAGATCATCAAGCTACTTAACTATTAAGCTAAAGAAGTTTTTTAAGTTTACTTTTTATGTGAACTCTTTGAAAGAAATGTGAATGAATTTATTTTTTCCAGGTGAAGCTACAGCATACATCATGTCACAAGGAACAACTTTCCGCTGGGATACTTGTGCCCCCCACTCTATCCTCCAAGCTAAGGGTGGGGACCTAATCAGCTTTTCAACTAAAAGTCCCATCACTTACAATGATGAAATGCACATGGAGCCACAACACTATAGTAACAAAGATGGCATAATTGCTTTTACTGATATGGCAACAATAGAGAAAATCAAGAAAATTCTTGATAATTAATTATTTACATATAAATAATATTTAATGTTGAAACCATCCCCCCTGTGATTCCAACACGTAATTCAAGTAGATAATAAGTAGTATATGGTGACTGATAATTAGTGAGCAATATTTGAACATGCATTGTACCCATTTTTTCTTTTTTTAAAAAACATTGCTCATCTCTTGGATTTTTCGTGTGTTGTGGGTGCGGTTACAAACACACACAAGCCACCCAGACCTGGAACAACAATTTGTGAAGCACACAGAGTTGCACCAACCATTCAGTATTTTTTTTAGTTTTAGTTATTAGTTATTTTTTAGTATAGCAAAATTACTGTGTAACCGCTGTCATGCAGGGCCTGGCCGCTTACAGGAAAAAATGAGTAAAAAATAAATAAATGAGTATAGAAAAGTTTGTTTGGTATCATGAGTACAATCGCATGTTTTTAATACTGGTCACAAATTACCAGCCAACCTACATAATGTAGTATTAATTCCTTTCTATAATCTATAATTATAAAGTTAGCTCTTATTTCATGTCTAGGGCTGACCAATAAAATTTGAACGCTAAAATTGATGCTACCTATTTCATTCTGAGAGTAGTTGGCAATTTTAGCAAGTATGCAATGGAATTGGTGTCATAAAATGACTATAATAAAGTTTTATTATAATAACTATACAAACATATAAAAACTAATACTTGTCATTGATATTTTTAAATATTACTCTTTAAATATAAGACCAGATTTTAACGAAATACTGTTCCAATGTATTAGATGTTACAGTTTTTTAAATATTTGTCTGGAGTTTTTGAATACCAATATTTTAAAAATGTATTTGAATAATTTTATATATACATCTAGTCATTATTATTCAATTAAGTTAATTTTTAAATGATCTCTATGTTGCATGTTACTGTAAACTGTGATGTATTGTTTCCAAAATAAAAAATATCATTTTGTAGAAATAATTTTTACTTATCTTTTAATTACTTAATTAATTATTATAATACTAACTAATCACTAGATTCTGAATCTGAAGATGAACTTCTGCTCTTCTTCTTTTTCCTTTTTTTACTTTTCTTTTCTTTTTTCTTTTTACTCTTCTTTTCTTTCTTCTTTTTTACTCTGCCTTCTTTTACTTTTTCTTTAGAATCTTTTTCCTACAAAAAAACATGGTTAGCTATGCAATACTAAAATACGAGTCTAGAAAGGCCTCAATTAAATCTATATTAATAGGTCAAGGCAGTACCTCTTCAATTTCTGTATTCACAACAGTTTCAGGTTTTCTAGCAATCAGTGGTGCACATCCTTCCATCCTAATTGATGCAGTCACCTCATCTACTTTCGACATGTCAGCATTTGGTGCTCTGTACTGCTCACAGTGATCCACTCTGATAGTCCTGTTTAAAATCTATAAGACAAACGAAAATATTTTTAATTCTTTACCTATATTACTCATGGATATGAATAGAATCTTTAATTGAAATTCTGGCAATGTCAGGTAAACTTATGGATGTTGTTATCTGAGCAAGTAATCATGATGATTTCCTAGAATTATTTTGAAAAATACACACTTAGTAGATTACATTTTTATTATTCAGTAAAAAAGTAACACGATGCAAGTTATTGGTTGCTTTAAATATTGAAATAGAGATTCAGTGCAACTTACTTTTAATCCATTTAAATTATCTACAGCCAGCACTGTGGACCGTTGGTCTTCGTAACATATAAATGCAAATCCCTTTGATTTTCCAGTTGCTTTATCTCTCACTAAGTTTATGTTCACTATTTCACCATACCTGGGTAAAGGAAATAAGTTTATAGTTAGATAGTTTTAAGAAATCACCAATTGAGAGTTCATGCACAATGGGTACATAGGTGCATACTTAATGCCAAGGGAATTTTCTACCAGTCGATCCTTGGGTGATGCAGAGATGAGCCAATGGTTGGTTCATCAAGCAATGAAACAACTTCATTCTATATGGGATATGACAGTTTAAAAGGTAGGTTTAGAGTGTGCTGCAAACTAATCTCTGTCAAATTGGTCAGTCCCAAAAAGACTAGTATTGAACTGCCAAGTATTTTACTGTCATCAGTATTCTTACATATTCATCAAAAGTATTATTATATCTATCTAGCTATCCCATACCCCATGCCAAAAACAGCATAGGGCCTTCAAGGAGCTTTTCAATTAAATAGTAAACAATTTTACTTACTGTGAAAAGACACAAATTACATCACCCTCTGTAAGATCATAGGGCAAGCCTCCAATAAATATCCAAGCGCTGTGCTTATACTGGTCATGCCAGGAGCTCTTGGATGCACCACCGAGTTCACGTTCACTCAGCTTCAGCACATTTTTCATATTACTGTAATATAAGAGAAGCAGTACAAAATATATGCCACAAGTACTACTCAAGTAAACTACTTCACCAAAATTATTGTTTTATATTCATCGTAAATTGTCATGTTCACTGTTAGTAATTATTGTATTATTAGGTAAGTTAAAATAACTAGTTTTAGATTGTAAAAGGTATGTTTTGATCTGGACCTCTGTCTTGTTTATCATGGTAAGTACATATTAATAGTTGTACTTACGTCATAGGATTCATTTTGTATTAAAGTTTTGGCACACTTTTTAATAAAACACTAAAAAACAAGCGTACGAACTATTTTTATTCTATTTTTAATATTCTAACCTACAAAATGCAATCAAATCAAACAATTTAAAAATATTGTCAGTTGTCAAACTTGTCGATGTCAATTTTGTTGTCATAGCAAACGATATGTTTTTCTGTTCACGCAGAAACTAGGTACATTTGTATATTAAACAAAACGTACAAGTCTTAATAATCAAAGAGAAATGGTATCAAATTTTAGTTTTTTATCAATCTTAATCTTTACCGAAAAACTCCGGAGTGGTCTCCATTTTTAACATAATCTCTATACAGGCACACATCATGGTAATGAAAAATGGATCTTACTCGATAACAGTTTTGGTTTGAAATCATTTCATTATTTCAGACGGGTCATTAAATTGGAACTTTTGTGTAAGATTTTTTCCAAACTTTCCCAATATATTTAATTTAGTCGGCTACCATTCATAGAAGGTCAATAGATTTAATATGCATAGACCATAGAATTCCTCCTGATTTTACAATCTAAGTTACTTTGTCAAATCATGATTTGACAATTGACATTTGACATCATTTTGAGTAATTCTAGAAAATAACAAATACACACGAAAGCGTATATCAGAGTTTTCTGTTTAATTCTGAGCGAAAAATATATTATTTTGTACAATGACTACTCCTCCTGACTCACAAGATAATTTTGACCAGGTTTGTAAATAAATTTACGTACTCCTCAAACACACAATTGTTTTTGAACTTGTTAAAAAAATGTGACCTTATTTTCAGTTTGACGAAGAAGAAACTGAACAACAGCTTGGGGCAACAGCATCTGGGCGCAAACGGTTATTTAGCAAAGAACTAAGATGCATGATGTACGGCTTTGGTGATGACCAGAATCCTTACACTGAAAGTGTTGACTTTTTAGAAGATTTGGTCATAGAATTTATAACAGAAACCACGCATAGGTGCGTACACCCCAACTTTTTTAATATAATTAGGTTTTAAATAATGTTCTCTTATCCCTAAGGCCACCTAAACATATTACAATCGTCTTGACACTACTCCCGATATTATGTAAACTGAATATTTATTAATTAATTCTATATTTTAGGGCAATGGAAGTGGGTCGTACAGGTAGAGTACAGGTAGAAGATATAATTTTCTTAGTTCGCAAAGACCAGCGCAAATATGCCCGTGTCAAAGATTTACTAACTATGAATGAAGAGCTGAAGAAAGCAAGAAAGGCTTTTGATGAAGTTAAATATGTTGGTGAGTAGAAGTTTACATCACAAAGTATTTTAACTATATGTAATATACAGGTCTTTTTGATAACAGAGTAATGCTTAATTATTTAAAATTATTCAATAACTGACAATAAAAAATAATGAATTTGTATGAAATTATTAAAATCAAACTAATTGTTTACTGTTATGATTGTATGATTTACTTTGTATTGTACTTATGATATGTGCATAAATAAATGTGTTTTTGTAAAATTATAGAAGATCAACAATAACATAGATGGTCAGACAAGGCTGCCATGCTTCTAAGACTGATGCAAGTAACAGTATTTTCATTATGATACCTTGCTTTTTGTGTTCCCACATACCTACTAATATCATTGTAGTGAACCATTGTAATCTAACCCTTGTTATGTTGCCACTATAATTTATTTTGCTTTAAGTCCTTTACAATTCATAGACAAAATATTTCATGTGGTTGTGAATAATATTTCTCACGATAATGTAGCATTGGTTATGAACTTTGGGAAGTATAATTTGATATTTTCTACAACAAATTTTCTTTTATATTTATTTGGGTTCATTAAGTAAGTTAGAAGCTTCTTATTTTTTTACTTATTTTGTCTCTCCTACCTCAAACTGTTATTAATTCATTTGATTTGATAACAGGAATATTTAAGAAACTATTTTAGATGACAACCTCTTTGCTCAATAATGTGATGTACATGAATATCTATAGTAGTTGCATTTAAAAGTAATAATGTAAGCTTTCTCTCTATGCTTTAGGACACCTTTTCTGTTTGTAATCCTGTGTTATCTATCCATAATACTTTTTACCTTTCCTGCATGAGCAGAGCTTTTATTAACGACATTGCTCTCATTTCTATCACAAACTCATAGATAAGTTGTTATGGCACCTCCACAACCTGTTGTCTCAAATTTAGCTTAGATAAGGATATAGGGAATGTTTCACTATTTTGTAGAGAAAGTGTTAACCATTATTTAAGAATAATTGTATTGGGAAATTCCTACATGTGATAATTTTAATGTTTTAGTTTAGTACCTACTTACAGTTCTTTAAATACTGGGTCATGGTCTTCATTAATCACAACAATGTTCACAATTTAAGGGCTGATTTATCAATAGTTAGATAAATGTTATCTGTGGAATAAAATTGTTACTGTCACTGTCTTACACAAAGCTTCTGATGGGACAGCATCATTATTATTCCCCAGATAATTTTTATCTAACCATTGAAAAATCAGCCCTTATAAAATTGTTTATTATTTAATATTGAAAGATAATACAATTGTTTGTATTTCAGAATAATTCAGAAGTGGATAGACTGAAAGGAAATTACCTTTGCACATATCTTGTCCAATGTAAAACTTAATTGTAACCAAGGTTTGATACCAAATTACACATTTTGATATTTGTTCTTGTAAAACATTCCTCTCATAGCGAAAAGTCAATGTATTAGTTTGTAAGATAATAAAATAGTATAATTTATAGAGTTGTTTTATTTAAAAATAAATGTTTATAAAGCAGTTAGTTAAAGTAGCTTAAGTAACAGCCTCGAGGTATCTTCAGACTAAAAACATTCATTCAAACATTTACTATAAAATACTTAAGTTCTAGAGCGACGCGAAAGAAACTTAGACAAGTATTTCTAATAGGTTTTAGTAAAGATTAAACAAGGAACAAAATCTGCTTTCTGATTTTTCTAAAATGCAGAGGAGATACTTGGGTAAAGGTTGTAAACCAAGATTTTGAGCCAAAATCTTTTTATAGTGGTTAAGTAACTTTTCTTGCTCTGAGAGGGGCAAGAAGTGTCAGATTCTTACTGTTTAAAAACCACCTACCTTCTCCTACTCTGGGTTGGAGCGTGGCTGAACCCGCAATCCCGGATGTTACGTCTATCTTGAGTGCCATAGAATAGAGGGTTACTACTGCCAAATAGGTTAATTTCAGGCCTGCGACGCACTTGCAACTGCTCTGGTTAATTTCAGGCCTGCGACGCACTTGCAACTGCTCTGGTGTAGCGGGTCTCCGTGGGCAACGCCGTTTCAAAGCCAAGGGCTTTTCCTACCCTGTCCCTCAATTAAAATAACTGACATTTAAAGGCGTTGTCATAAAGATGCGTGATACAAGTTATGTTTGTTTGCAGATGGGTCAATTTCAACCCAACCAGTACCTACATAAAATCGCAAATTCCATTGCTGCATGGCTAGGATTTTGAGCCTGCCTCTGCCACCTTCAAAATTTATTAGTACTGGTCAAAATAATATGCTTGATTTTTTATAAATGACTACATGATAGATTAAGATCACTTCCGAACTGTCCATCAATCAGCAAATATGACAAAAGGGTTTGGAGGTGAAGAATGATATTTTTATATGCAAGACCTTTTCTCCTTTAACAGGAGCAATGGTTTTGTGATAAATTAAAAATCGAAATATATTTTTTTAATATTTTATTTGTGCAATACAATAATAGGCTGACAATATAATAGCTTGCTAAACAGTTCTAACAACTGTTTTAACGAAATAATATCAATCAATGAGAATAATTTAACATGATTTTACAATTAGGTATTGTTTTAACACACTAAAACAAAAGCAAAATGTTTAATACAATTCAAAATAATGTCAACGATTCTCAACATTCGGAAAATATGGCCCCAATGAATATTAAACAAATATGAAATGTGAGAGTTCGATCAAGATGATGAAAATATGTTTACAAACTTCAACGAGAATAAAACTATGTGACTTCACAATTTACATATAGATCAATGATTCTTAATAATTACGTGTAAATAAAATATTTCAACAAAATGTTTACATTTTAGGCGACTAGACCAGGTTGTCAAAAAACAGCCAAATGTCTAAACTTTGGTTTTTCAATATGTATTACATATTTTTATATAACATCGACCAATAACAAAGTTAATCTTATATTAATATAAATAGGCCATTGATGGCAGTGAGTTAGTGTTCATAAATAACGTAATAAATTACTTGTTGAAATATTACATACATACTTATAATTTAATTATACTATTCTAAGGTACATTCTAAGCTCGGGCAAAATGAAACTATTGGCAACACTAATTTCTTAAGGTGAGACATGACAATACTGTAAAATAACTTTTAATAAAACAAAAATAATACGAACTGGAATTATAATATTAATCTGAAAATTGGTAACTATTTTTTAAATAATGTAAAATAATTTACTAATGTAATCTCAACTGTAAACGAGGGAAGACATGTTTAATATTTGAGCCCTTATTTATGGATATTGTTTTGGCAACACAACACAACACAAAAAGCAAATAAACTTAACATGCATTAATACTAAATAAAATCAAGTATTTCGAAGAAATAGTACCATTGAATTGGAAATTGTCAACAGTCTTTAAATAAATTTTGTATTAGTCTTAACGAAATTGGTGCTGTTTCTCTTGCATGGACAGAGAAAGCCAGCTGATCAACCTAATCTTAATTTATGAATATTTTTACTGGATTTGGACCTTATGTCAATAATATAAGTCGGAATTTGTCAAAAAGAAGTAGGTTGATCTGCTAGATATATTACATGCAAGAGAAGTACTAGTTTTTGTCCTTAGGACTTATGTGGAAATTGTTTCTACATTTTTTTTATTTTTTTCCACACAATTAACTTTTATTTTCATAAAGGCCTATGTGTACTTTAGCACTATTAAGAACTATCCTATAACTTTGTAAATATCTATTAAATAGTAAGATAATAATAACATTTTCACTACTTTTATAACAGCCGACGCTAAGGCAAGTAAACCCTTTACATTAGATATTACTTAGATTTAGTAAATTTGTTATACATTAATAACTACCAGAGATAATTATTCATTTAAGAAACATTTTATTTTTGTAAGTGGTAATTATTTGTAGAGTAAACAATTTCAAATATTGCAACATTATTAGTAAATCTATTCTGTCAACTTGCAACACTGAAATATGCAAGTGTACCTATTCGATTTTTTTTATATTTTCTACTGGATCAGATTAGGCTAAAGGATGAGATTTTGGAATGGTTTATTATACTACCTTATTTTTTATACGTCAAGACCAAAATATAATAATATAGTGCAGTCAAAACATGAATTTAAATATTAGCCTTCTACACGTAATATAAATGTCAACTACAAAAATCAACTTTACTACTATTAAAATACCGTTCAAGTTAAAAAAAAACGTGTGCTTGACACAGGCTGAAAAAAAATCTAATAACGTATCCAACAGCATTATATTATATTTTTTGTAGATTATTGCCGTGAATACATTAGTCAAAAGTTAAAAATACAGTGACACAGAGTAATGAACAAATGGAGTGTCCAAACCAAATCGTCAAAAATCGTAGTTTAATGCCTATCTTTTAGGTAAAGTTAGTAATAATACTAAGGGTATCACTCTAAACAATAAACGGTAAAAATATAATATTAGAGTTAGGTACATTTAAGTTCTTAAACATTTGTAGGGACCCTACAGTTCCTAATAAAAACTCAATTGAAATACACATAACAAAAAACTCCATCCAATTACTCTGTGACAGCATCTAATAAAAAGACACACATTATAAATTTTCCTAAGTAAATGCCATCCGAATACTTGCGTGATGCTGTTCGTTTCGTTTAGTCGGTAGGTGGCGGCATTGCGGCAACGATTGCTTTCATTACGGCCGCAGCTGCAAGGGCAGCGTGAGGCTGCCAATCCTTGCCTCGAGTACCGTCACGGTAATCTGATATGCCTGAAATTGGAAATGTTGAAAGGTTGTTAAAAAAACTTCTTCTCAAACTTTCTCCATGTGAGAAGAGGCATTTGCTCAGTAGTGGGCACTTATAGGCTGATCATGATGATGTTCACTCTAGGATTATCTCCTGTGTCGTGAGTTCGTTTACAAACAAACAAATTCAAGTGCCTACACATACAACCCAGACCCAGAAGAACAATTTGTGGATCACACAAAGTGTGAACCAACTGTGTGTAGCCATGATGTTATGAATATAGTTGGATTATATTTATCATTCTGAAGACGTTCGCGGAGTGATATTTTTGACGTGATTTCTGTCTGTGGCGTTAGGAGTATTTTAAAATTTATCATCATAAGGAGAAATTAAAGGAATCTAAACTGTACCTATAGAGGATTTATTAAAATTCGAAAAATACTGTGGCATCTGACACAGAATAAAGTATGCTCGCCTCCATTTAATATGGCAATGCATTTCGAGGCTGTTTAACGCGAATTTCGCATTAGAAAAATGGAACAACTGTTTAATCTAAGCGTGAACCTGAAACATCTCGTTGTAAAGAGAATCTTCTCACCAGACCAATTAAACACCAAACGTAGTATATACAACAAATATTCTTACCTCGAATAGAAACAAAGCAATCCTTCCTGTTGCCAACGACGCTGTCGAGTACGGCATCCAGCTCGCAGTCGTAGGCGAGGGCTCGCGCATGCGCAGCGAAGGCCGCTCGCGCCTCCCCAGTTCCACTCACTGCACGGCCACCTGCTACAGGCGACAGATGGACTCGAAGACCACCGCCAGCTCTGTCACTGGAATAATGAATACAGACTTAGCACTCCATATTTAACTTTTCTATACATATTTATAATTTATTGGCAATTGGCAATATCAGGATTCTTAGAACGAAGTTATGGAGGGTCGTGTTGGTCCAGAGGTTCAGGCGGCCGCTTTTTATGCATGGGGTTTAAAACCTGGCTAGTAGGTACCAGTATCACTTTTTCAGAGTTACATGTTATTTATAACATTATTTAGACACCACTAACAAACGGCGAATATCGTTAGGAAACTTGGAATTTTCAATTAAAAAATCGCCAACCCGAGATGAATGCTCTCAAACTTCCGTATGAGAGTGGGCTATAAGTATTGCTCAACAGTAGGCACTTATAGGCTGATGATGAAGAATGAAGAGTATAGTGTACCTATGTAATTAGTAAGTAGCAGGGGTGTTAGGGAGCTCCGTAACCGTAACCGAAACTATCGGATATCGGATATAAAAAATCATCAGTAACCGTAACCGAATCCGAAATTAAAGTTTCGGATAGGGGCGGGGCCTAATTGAGACACGTTATGACAAGTCGTTTTGATCGGCCGGCCGCTGCCAGTGCCGACACACAAGCTGCGCGCATTGTTTTTTTTTCTTCTTTGACAAATGCGTCGATTGTGTTACGGAATCGATTGAATTTGTACAAAATACGTCCTAAGTCGAGTGCAGTTTGCTCGTTTTTTGATGAAATGACCGATTCCGCAAAATGTAAACAGTGTGGTAAAAGCTTTTCAAAGAAAGGAGGTGGAACGACATCGCTAAAACTTCACCTTAAATCACAACATAGTGATAGTACGAAGAATTTTACTTTTAAAATTCCTTAAAAATATAATATCCGTAACCGAAACTAACGGATAATCCGAAATAATTTATTATCCGTATCCGTAACCGTATCCGGTATAATAATCATTCCTATATCCGTATCCTATCCGTAACCGAAATTTCATATCCATAACATCCCTGGTAAGTAGTTAAAGTAAAAATTTTACTTAGGACACTAAGTTTTCTTAGGTGATCCTAAGAATACTGAAAGTACAGTACATACATGTGTATTTCTTAATTTTATGTAATTAAATAAATAATGGTACATACGGTAACCTTAATACTATATACTATAACATTAACTTTCAATAATAACAAATATAAATAGTTATATTCAATAAACAAACCAAAGTGCGTCATAAAAGCGGATAACTGAGTCTAAAACAAACTTATCCTAACGCTTAGCAAATCCGAATCGTGCCATAACGATACGATTTTCCTTTTAAATTCATATTCCAATAAATCTATTTATTCCTTATTTTATCTTAGTAAATAACAATTTGTATTTATGGAGTTACATACAGGGATTACCCATTAGGCCTCAATGGGGATTTAAGATACTAACGTGGTTACGGAAACATATTAATTTATAAATAACACGATTCATTGACACAAGAGTGCATAACATGGAACCTTTTTAGTATTATGAATAATGTTTTATAAGAATTTTACAGAATTAGCTCGCAATGTTTACTAAACATCTTTTCGCGTACGACGCCGCATACCTACTGTACTGAACAATTTAGAAATAATTATATCTTTTCGCACGACTATCAAGTTTAACGCCCGGTTTCTGAAAGGCTTGTCAACGCTAAAATTAACTAATCTGTTAAATCTCTTGTCAAGTCATCTGATTGGTTGTTGATGATAATTCAGTCAACCAATCACATGACTTGACAAGAGATTAAGTTAATTTTAACATTGATCGGCCTTTCGGAAACCGGGGTCTGTGTACTTTTGAGTTGGGATCACATGTTAGGTTTTTTAGGCCGTTGACAATTGGGAAAAAATAATCATTCTTTAATTGATGATTGTTTGATTTCGCGATATAGGTTTTTTTTTTATTTTCTACTAATAATTATCTATATCTTTTCGCACGAATATCAAGGTTAAGTGTACTTTTGAGTTGGGAACAGATGTAAGGTTTTTTAGACCATTCACAATTGGTAAAAAATAATCATACTTTAACTGATGATTGTTTGATTTCGCGATATAGGTTAGGTACTTTTTTATTTTTACTAGTTTATTTTTAAGAAACAATGATGCGATTTCATACAAAATTAAAATTAGTGTTGTGCCGATGACGATCGATTTTTCTCAGGTTAACAATAAGAAAGTCGTTCTTATGTTCGTTTTGTGTCTTTTATGCGTCCCAGACGCGAATAAATACTTTCTGTTTGTTTGTTTGTTATGTTTATGGTGGGGTGGTGTTTCATAAAAAAGCAATCACTAACGTCTCTCTAGAGTTTTAAAATAATATTATGATGTAACAATGTTTTAGTAGCTGTTATTTAGTTTCCCCTACCCCGGGGAACAAATTTTGTTCATTATGGCATATGACCACCTCTTATTGAATAAAATCTCCTAATTATAAGACATGAAAAAAGAAATTAAGCGATTACATACACTTGATCTCCCTGTGGTGCTGGGTGAGACACTTCGATGAAGGCACCCTCGCCGATGTCCACGCAGAGACGGTCTGTGGCGCCTTCAGGAGCCTCCCATCTTCCAGGCACGCCTCGAAGTCGTTCCAAGCCTAGAAATAAAGATACGGTGCAAAGAATATTAAAAAGACATCGCAACTATTTAGTTTTGTTGAGGGGGAAATCTTCAACTGACTGTTTTAGGTATCTGGCCCAGGGTGAGGCGAGAGAGAGCGTCAGGCTTACTGACTAAAAACCCCCCTGTTCTTTCTCCTGCTCCAAGCCGGAGCCGTGATACCTTGCAGAGCTTGCTCCGCAAAAAGTGTAAGGAGCGTAAGGGACCTCCAATGCCCTATATAATCATCAGCCACAATACCTCTAGGGCTGAAGACTCCCCAATTACTTTTACGGAAACGACCTGCACCTTGCGAATGAACTTACCGTACTATGCCTGCTAGTACTTTAGTAACCCGGTATATGCTTTGAAATAGGTTCACAAACAAAATCATCGTTTGAAACAGGTTTTAACATAAAGGTTTGCTAAATCAACACAAAGGGTTCTGTTCCCCTATTTCTTAGAAATCGTTCGTGCATAGTGCAGTGTCTACAGAGTTAGCGGTAAAAGTGAGTTGCAAACGTAACGTAACAAAACATGAAGGGTATGATTCATACTACTAGTGATTGAATGATCTAATTGAAGAGGTAAATAATTGATCCCCTTGACCAGGTTTTCCATCAACTTAACACCTCCAGATAATATTTTGATAGTATACAAAGACGATATATTAATAAAAAAAATGTGTAGCTCGGCTCCATTTGATCGTAGCCTGATCTTTTATAGCCTATAGCGCTCGGGAACATTGTAGCTATCCATTAGTGAAAGAATTTTGGCAATCCGACCAGCGATTCCAAAGATTATGCCCTACACACAAACTTACAAATTTTACCTCTTTACAATATTTGTATAGATAGTATAGATATGATGTCATTGGCAGTTGCATTCCGAAAAATCTCAAGTTTACACAAAAATGCATAAAAGCTAACAGGAAAAATCGCCTAAAAAACTAAATAAAGAAATCGATATTTGCTTCTAACAGTGATGTACCTATAACAGTGATGTAGCCGCTGGTCGGATTGCCAAAATTCTTTCAGTGATAGGTAGCTATAATGTTCCTGAATGCTATAGGCTATAAAACATCACGCTACGATCAAATGGAACTGAGCAGCGGGTGAAACCGCGCGAGAGTAGCTAGTGTTTAATAAAGATCTTTTTGTAATTCATTTTGTGTCTTTACCAATCACGGGACCACAGAGTCCAGGTCATTTGAGAGGCGTACGAGGAGTGGAGCCAATTGCCGCAGAGGCCCTTAAGACAACTTTAATCTAAATGAATTGAGGCATAGGTATTATAAAATATAACAATATCATAATTTTCCTAATAAAACATATTCGGGAAATAACAAGTTATGCAGTACTTAAATGTTTACTTTGAAACAATGATGTAAAACACACCTTTTATTTGCAAAGATAAAAATATGCAAGGAATTTTAAAACAAACACCATTATCTTTAATAGCTGTGCTCACAACTCATAAAGATATTTCCGTTTTCCAAAACAGTATAACTGCGTATATTAATAGTGCACACATAACTAGGTACAAGGAAAAAAAAGAAGTCGGTTTATTCAGAATAATTCAGATATGATCTGACATTTTGAGAACACATTTTCTTAGTTAGATTATTTATTGCTCATTATTTACCTTAATTTCCTATAAAGAATATTACCTAAACTATATTTAAAAAGTATAAAAAAAATTTCCTCCGAGGAAAAGACTGTACGGTTGGTGCGGTGGCTGGGCAACTGACTGCCGTGCATCGTGTCGCGGGTTCGATTACCGCACGGAACAACTCTTTGTGTGACCCACAAATTGTTGTTTCGGGTCTGGGTGTCATGTGTATGTGAAATTGTATGTTTGTAACTGCAACCACGACACAGGAGAAAATCCAAGGGTGGGGAATCGTTTAAAAAAAACTGTCGATGTCCCTTCAATTATATTATCAGCCAGGGTTGCGGGGCAAGCGCAATTATGTGTGCGTGCGTGGCCTTGGCCTGGAGCAGAAGGGACTGGGTGGTTTTTACTAGGTGAGAGTCTGACACACCTTGCTCCGTCCAGGGCGAGAGAATTAGTTCGTTGGTTCCCGCATTGCTATAATTGTGTCGACGCCGTATAGAATATACTTACTACAGAATTTCTTACCTACTCGCTGATTCAACATTCCATTTTTAATGTGACTTTACCTTTATGATTTATATCATTTTGGTACCTACTTACTGACTTTCGAAGATTATTAAGACACCACTAACAGACTGAAGGAAAACATCGCAACGAAACCAGAACGTAATACTAAGTTCAAATTATGAGTTTAAATCATCTACCATTTTGACCTTGAGCAAGCGTGGTGATTGCTCATTCCTTTTTCTTGCGAGAAGAGGTCTCTTGTACAGCTGAATATTTACAGTCAGAAGATGTTGAGAATAACATTAGGTAACATATTTTCGTAAGACCTAAAACGCCAGTTTTGAATGAATTGGCAACAGTACCTATCGTATAAACATTTTTCATTTCTAACCTTCACTAACGAACGCGTCCCACAGAGGTTTAGCGTTGCTCAGGCGCAAGGCAATATCTTGCAGAAGGAAATCGGCTGGTTTGTAGGGCTTCACTTCATAGTCCCATCCACCTTTCGCGTTCTTCTCTGCTTTCTCGCAGAATATGTAAACGTATCTGTGAACAAAAAAATGTTTTATTAGTAATTATTGTGTATTGCAAAATTAATATTCATTATTTCATATATCATATAATATGTTTCTGTAGTTTTGACATTTTATGATAGGGCGAGGCTTTGACATGTTCCGGGTATAATGGTAATATAGATTTGATTTTATAGAAATTTTAGTAAACCAAAAACAGCAAAACAATTTGCATAACAGTTCCAGTAAACCCTCTATACCAAAACCTTAGACCGAGGCATTTTTAATAACTAAATTCTGGTAAATGGTTCTACTTATATCATTATGATTGACCGGGATAAGAGCTCGGGTGAGTCACGGTCGAATCTCGAGTACAGAGTAACAAATAATCAATCAACATCAAGCAATAAGTATATTCCACTATTGGAATTGGTATATGTATTTCCTTACGCAAAGTTGGTAACGATATCAGTTGTGGAAAGATGTTTAAAATTAGTCAGTCGTTACGGAGAACATAAAAGATATTTTTTTAAATCCTGTTGTCATTAAATTGCGGTTAAATCGTGGATTATGATATTGAGATTGATGATTTGAAATTAAAAATTATTATCATCAAGAACATTAAAAATAGCATTTGCGCGCCTTGATTTGTTCGCCTTTGATTCCTGTGAAATTTAAATTTTGCATATTCCCAGTATCGAATCTTTTTTTACACAACGTCCACTTAACAACATCGAACACACATAATAAGAGTTATCCAATTTCGTCTAGTAGTTTAGGAGCTATTCACGTACATACATTTCGTTGGTTCATTTTTATTTATACAGCTGCAATAATGCTAATATGTCTCATACATATTGCCTGATATTTTTATTCTTACTAAACTAAGATTGTCAACATCCCAGTACCTACTGAGCCATAACAATTTGAGTTACTATGCGAGGGTCAACCAAGGTTAGTGTGGTAATGTAATCAATTATCTTCCATTTGAGGCATTTGAACGTGCAATGCAGTCGGTCATTCAGCCACCCCACTCATAGCTACACCTAACGCTCACCCACGTGTAGCATTTAGACCAAAATTACACAAGATCTGCTGTTTTGTCCATAAAACAAACATTTTTGGCTTGACCTTGGTCAATTATACCTACCTTCTTATAAACAAAGTTTCATCTTCCGAAGAAAAAAGAACTATCGGTTCGCCCACGTAAGGTCATTAACCCATAGCTTGAGGCGAACTAAAATGTCCACGTAATTCAAACCGTCTAGCCATATAAGAGACTTTGAATTTGGAACAAAAAATGGAACTTAATTTGCTTGCTTTATTCCCCTTTCAGCAAATAACCATTGAATAAAGTTTTCTTAAAAATATGGTGACTTTTGAGCTAGGAATTTCCGAAGTGACCGAGTAACGTCAATAAATTTAACCTCATTCCTTCTGTGTGAACGATTTGCTAAATTATCGCCTGTAAAATTACAAGGAATCGCTTCTTGTACTAAAAAGTAATACATAGGTAGGACAGGTATTGTACAGGCTATTTATTTAGTGTACTTCGACAAGAATTGGACAGACACGCCCACACCTGCTTAGATTTTGAGACTAAGTACCTACATGGCTGAATCTCCAAAAAACCTTAGGTAACTTTTATTTAACAAATCATTTTCTTTTCGGGTTTTAAGCATCTTAGTATCAAATATTATTAATCGATTGCTAGTACCTAAGCAGTGTTGCGATTTAATTCAATAAAATCATTAATGCGTTTTAATCTGCAGAATCTTGGGTTGAGGATAATGACATCATTATTTTTTGGTAAAGTGATATGTAGAATTACAAACTTATCGCGACATTTAAAACAAAAGTTTATGATTGAGCAGAATGACTATTGGCAAACTTAAGATATCGAGAATAGAACTTAGGGATTTCATAAAGAACTTCTGTAAACTAAGTTTCATACAATTGTAGATCTTAGCAAATTATTATAGGTATGATTTTTCTCTATCTCAAATTATACATTTCATCCAATTACACGTGTTCGTTTCGTCGGTCGAGAAAATAAAAAGAGACGTCTGGTTTCGCAGGTGAGATCCATAATATCTGTTTAGGTGTATTTAAAACTGTATACTGTGAGCTATTTCTGAACTTCAAACGAAGTGTTTGGTTTCTCATCTAACCTAATTACGAGATTGGATTTTAAGAGAAGCAAAACTTACCTTTTCAGTAAAATGTATTATTTTTAGTGCTCTACATGACAATAGCCGAATTTATTGTAAGGTAATAAAAGAGTTTCAAATTAATCGGAACATTAATTATTGGCTAGATAAAAAAAATATTAGTATCCTCAGATTTAGCACTTTCATAAGAAGCGTGACTAGGCAAAAGCTTAATTTGCAAACAATCACCGTAGGTACAATATAAAACAAAAAAAAAAAATTAACCATGCGGTAGGTAGGCGCCTCCAAGCCCTATTTACTTACATTACTGTGAACATTCATAAAACATTTACGTCTGACGTTTATACCTAGTTCGTGATTCTCCGACTAAGATTATCAAACAGTACTGTATCTTAGTATTAACAACTACATTCGTGCGTTACTTCGTTATTCTAATAACATTCATTTTATTATCGTCGACAACAATCTCAACAGTACATACTTAATGTGTATCGACCGACAATTCCTAGCTGGATTTCCCCAAGAGACAAACCGTTAACGTAAAAAGTTGTTCACAAGGTGTGTCCTTGTGTTCACCATGGATATTAAGAATGAGATCAACAATGAATCGTGTGGATATTTAATTCAAAGCAGATGTATTTTTGCCGAAGGTAATGCGTCTGCCTTTTGGGCAATAATAGGGATGATGACTAAAAAATAATAATTAGTTAGTCCATCTTTCAGAACGCCAGAAAAATTGTAGATACGTATTTTTTCTTTTGCTTCTAAAACTTAAAATAACAAAGTTACAGAGCGGCGAAAGTTCGCGCTACGTCATTATTTCGTATTTTTTTTTACGAAAGAGTGACGTTACGCCCCTAGAGCCCCTACTCCTCAATTTGAATGTGCTGTATCTTTGTCAATATTATTAGTATGGACAAATAAAAAAATACGTATCGAGTATTTTTCTATATTCTAACTGACGGACTAATTAGAATCTTGTTGTTTTAACCCAAGAGACATCCCTATTATCCCCCTGTAAAGCCTCCGATATCCCACGGCGAAACACCACGCAAAGGTTTTTTCATGGCGGCTTTCTGTAAGGTCTTGGTCCTATTACAATCGAGCTAGCCCAACCGTACTCAAGCACGACACTCCCAGTTGAATAAATCTATTCATCATTTTCAAGGAATAGTATGTTTGATATGTTCGTTTTTAAAATACCCTAAATAACTCTAAGGTCTGATTTTTCAATGGTTAGATAAAAGTTGTCTGGGCAATAATTATGATGCTGTCTGAACAGAATGCGTGTATAAGACAGTGGCAACAACAAATTTATTCTTAAATAAATTATACTATATATATTAAATTTTATTGAAAAATCAGACCTTAATAAAAAAATAACATTTTCCTTAGTAAACAAAGGAATACCCAAAGAAATTTGTGTAGGTAATAATGATCACATTATAAAATAGGACTCGGAAGATTTTTCCTATACTCCCGGTTGTGGCGACGCGTTTTAAAAATCGCATTTATAATTTACGACGTAGGTCATATACGTAACAAAGACGTCACTGATGGGACAATCAAGTACAATACCTACATTAGTAATCGTGGTTTCAGAAGTCACGTACACCATACGTTATGGATAAATTATAGTTTGCTTAAGACCGTAATTTACTGTTAATTATTATTAGACAATTATAATTGTTTTTACAAGAAAAATATCTGTATGAATAGTTGAGAACTATAGATCATGAGCAAAAACAAACAGCATTTGTTACAATGACAGTTCTGTCATAGACGGATCAAATAAACTGCAAGATATTTCATGAAAATGTTTGGTTTCTTTGTTTTTCGGACACATGTAGCTAGCCCACAAATAAAACGTAATAAATACTCCTTTTAAATGTTAACGGATATCTGTGTATTTTTATGGCCCCATTTTAGCATTGAAGCCGTAGTTATAAAATAAAGCATTATTTATTTCTATAGATCTTTGTTTTAAAGTATTTAGATTACACTAGTTTTGTACTCCAACACGTTTGGGTTATCGTATTTTTTATTGATGGAAAAAGTCTAATCTTGGAAGATCCGACACATTCAGCACAAATGGCCCGACTCGACCGGAGTCATACGTACCATACCACAAACTCACAGGATACCGTCGTGAACCACCACTTGTGTGTTTCACCGTGAGAGTGACGTTAACGGATGCCCAATCCTTTCTCACCATTTTCAACTCCAAATTCTTTATTAATAAATCCAAGCCATAAAACCTCTGCTCGTTTACCGACTCATCATCATCATCAGCCCATAAGTGCCCACTGCTGAGCTAAGGCCTCTTCTCACACGGAGAAGGTTTGAGCATTAATCACCACGCTTGCTCAATGCGGGTTGGCGATTTCAAACTTAAAATTTAAACTATAAGTCCAGGTTCCCTCACGATGTTTACCTTCACCGTATGTCAGCGGTGTCTAAATAATCATAGAAAGTACATATAACTCGGAAAAAGTCACATTGGTACTCGCCAGGTTTCAAATCCGCACCCTCATGCATGAGAAGCGGGCGCTTTAACCTTCGGACCACCAAGTACATTTACCAACTAACCCCATAAAAAACATTTTTTTCCCAAAGGTATAAGTAGTTGCAAAGTTTTATTGACACGCGAAATTAGTTTCAGCGTTAATGAGTAACAGTGTGCGGTTAACCACAGCTCAAACATTTGGTTACTATGTGCGAAGATGATTAATACCTACAATTCTTGGGGCTTGAGTAGGTACTTTTCATTTCATTCATAAGTTAGTCGAAATGTGAGTAAAATTCACCACAGGAATGACTTGACAAAAATTCATCTTTAAACTGTTACCAATGTAATATGATACATATTTCAGCCCAGTACGAATTTTGTTCTTGTCAATATGACGAAGAAAGGCAGGAATAATGATCAATAACTTAGAAAAAATGCATGCAGGTGGGTATTAGTATTAAATGATATAAGAATCCTATTTTACCTTCTCGCATTTTTATAAAAGTAAAGAAAATTACCTAAATAATAGTGATGTGGAATGTAAGAGGTGATTGTCCTGGACCAGTTCAGAGTCTAATCTATTTAATCCGCGAGGAGACAGGCACTAGCATGTCGACTTCTGCTTCAACACACGTCTAACAAATCATTAGATTTTCAATTTGGATTGGAGTAGAACTGATTGATCTGATGGCGTAATATCTGCACGCACAGAATTATAAATCTTGGTGTGATCTATAAATTGTTTATCCGGGTCAAGTTCGGCGCCTATGTGAATTGGTGTGCTTTGTATTACAACGCACCCACAACGTATGAGACAATTTAAGAAGAGTAAATATATTAAAAAAAAGGTAGACTTGTCCATTAACAAGTAAATTGCCGTTTCGGTCCAAAGTATCATTATAAAACTCATCTATAAACAATGACGAATAGTGATTGACGTAGTTTTTCAACGTCAACTCTAGACAGCTGAGTAATAAAAAACTGTGTTGTTAGTTTTTATTCCATAATACCTATATTTACAAGTCATTTGGTTACAACCACCCACGTGACTTTAGTACAGTTAAGGCCGGTATCCATAACTATATGTGTAGACTATCTACTCATAGACGGTTTCCCTCGCCACTGAGCTGCTATTGGTCGTTGCGAAATCTTTAATGACATAATTATGTATGTATAGTGTTCCTTTATAAATGTACTGTCTACCACATACTTTTTTTTTCAATTCGAACCAGTAGGTAATTTCAGAGATTAGCGTGTTCAAACCAACAAGCTATTCATATTTATTTTAAACTTAGCACACGTATCGTCCTAGGATTTGTCCAAGTCGCGATAACGTTTTAGAAACATACAATTTTACGTACTTCGACATGACATTAAAACTACTAAGTGATAAGTATGAAGGTCCGTTAGCTTGTCTCTGAACGCATAAAAGAGAAATATCGTTGTGACAGTAGCAGTGTCAGTCGTTAAAAATCTCAGTTAATAGCTGGCCGCACATTGTACACTTTTTATCAATAGTTAATTTTATGAATACAGAAAGACTCAGAACAATAATTTTGGAATCACACGAGTTGTTCCGTTTAAAGTATTTGCCTACTAGTGGTTAACTTGCATCAAAATTCAAAATCTACAACTAATTGGTTACTAAAACCGACCTAGACGGCTAGACAGATAAAAAAGATGTATCATTATTTACAAATAATTTGCTTACTCCCACGTGAATTTGGTACGGTGAGTTAAACGAAGATAGACGTATTGAGAACTTATCCGTTGAAGCGAGTAATAAGGCTGAATAAATATAATTGCTCATTTTGTTTTTCATGCCTCATTTGCATCGTTGGAATTACTTGAACGCCATGCGCTAGTCCTTGCCTATATTTAGATGACAAGGATCTATTTATGCAAGCCTGTTAGTTAGATAACGTTGAGATTGGAATGATTTATTCAAGCAGACGCTAAAGCCATTGTTGAATAAAAAGTTTTTAGTAAAACATTAAAGATTTTCTATTAATGTTTGGCTTATTTAACTTGAAATGAGGGTCAAAGAAAGATATGTTAATAGTTACAGTTGGTAATATAACAAAAATTAAGTTATTTTTAATATCACGAAATCTATTTATTTTTATAGATGTTCTTGCCTTTAATCTCTTTCTGGTTTGCTTACAAGTACTTCAGTGTACATGACATTTTTATAGGGCATCTACGGACGTCACTAGACTGTAGAGGACAAGCCCTTCCGGAATTACCAGTATTTAGATGACTGATTTCAACCACAAGTATGAAGTTGCCTATCAACAATTCCCACTAACGGTGCTTCGTTTAAATAAACCCGATTACTCAGGGAATCAGACTTTCTCATTACTAGTCTGTCTAGTTACGTCTGGGTTTTTACTTTAGAATGTTATAAATTAGGTAATGGATGATACTCGTTATCATTGCCACAATTGATTTTAAAAGGAAATATGATAGGAATTTGAAAGGATATTTGAAAGCAAATTGCATTTGCATGTTAATTAGAATCACGTCAGTAAGAAACCCTTTTACGATATCGAACTCTTTACGAAAAGATTATGGGTTTATGGATAATAAACAATTTCATATCGAACCCATTCATAATTATTATGCGATTGTTTACAAGTTTCCAGCTAGTTAAACGATTTGGACGTGATCGCATATTAAATAGACATACATCCACTATAAATTCTTATACATCGAAGTTGAATATCAATTTACCTTTTTTTTAATTAGTCTTCTTATTTATAGAAATGGCATGATTTAAGTCAGCTACATTGAAAAACAAGTAATTTTTTTACTTTTCGTACCTATGGTTAACACCAACTATGCAAATCTAACAACTTTAACCCTTGGTATGCCAGAACGTAGATCTAAGCGAGAAAATGTTTTTTTCCTATTGTGTGTCATATGATCACAAAAGCAGGTTAAACGAGCAATAATTGCTCGCTTGCACACAGGATTTCGAAAACGGCTTTAACATTTCATATGAAATTTTGTATGTTAAGGTTCAGGGACGAAAATTCAATCTGTAAAAGACCAAGCAAAGCTCGGTCACCAGATACTAATAATTACATAGCGTTACATACCAATATCTTAACCGAATCCTATTGATATTATAAAAAAATATGAAAATTTGTGAAAATGTACGGATGTACCTATGTTTGTTACTACGTAATATGCGTAATACGCAAAAACGGCTAGACTGATTTGATTGAAATTTGGTATGTATTTGGCATAGGCTGTTTTTATCAACATACCAAGCGGGCGAAACCGCATGCGAGTGCTAGTATCTATAAAAAGTATTAACAAATAAATGAGCTAAACAGATACTTACTTGTCTGGTAAATCGGGCGCGGGTGATGACACCACGACATCGCCGAGACGGACGTGTCTGGCATAATCTGTATAATGAGGAACCCCGCCTCCAACGCCGACTAGAAACACATATTCCACCTGCAAATAGAATGCCGTTAATCTATATACTAATATATTGTTATAAAGCTGAAGAATTTGATTATTTGTTTGAACGCGTTAATCTCAGGAATTACTGGTTCGAATTGAAAAAATCGTTTTGTGTTTAATAGACTATTTATTGAGGAAGGCTTTTTTAGGCTACGTAACATCTGTAGGAGCAGAGCAGCGGGTGAAACCGCGCGAGAGTAGCTAGTCTTATATAGAATTACGGTCACTACTGCCAAATGCCAGGTGACATTTAGAGGTGTAATATTGCCAATACAGAAATGAGGATAAAATTATTGTCATTTAAAACCTGGAGAGCAATCAGATGTAGACAGGAAATAGTCTCGGTACGTATTTATTCATTTATTAGCTAATCTGTCGAACTTTGTAATACCTCAAAAAGTTTCATAATATCAGTTGATACATATTGACAAATATGTTACATACTTAGGGCAGTTTGAATGGGCAAATAAATTGTTGTTGTTGGCAAGTTTTTTTGTATTCAACACGCTATTTTCTTATAAACTTTCTCTGGACATCTAATATTCAAAGATCGATGAATATGAAGACTAGGTATTTTTCAGTTTTACTTTTAGTACTTTCATTTGGTTTCTTGCTCTATTAGCCTTTATTAACATTTTATTTTTATTCTGTTTCATATTTCCTACTACCTTTGCCTGGGCACATAAGTTTAGATTTTTATTATGAACCTAGTTTACTCATAGGTATTATGCTTCATGTCCACATTAATAAAATTCATTACTTTTATATTGATCTCTATCTCTTTTCAATAGTTCAGTAATGATTATAACCGACAAAAAGTTTCCTTAAACCAAGTCACCAAGACTTTAAATGCTATGCTATTAATTTATATTTAGGCGTATACTTGATTACAAAAAACGGTGTTAGTGTTAGTTATTCTTATCACCTAACTTAGTTCTTCCAGACTAGGTGTAGGTACGACCCAAACGATCAAACGACGAGGAATTCGACTAAATATTGACGATAATATTATGACTTCAAAGATATCACTTCTAAAATAATAAACAAGTTAATTTAGTTGGTATAAACAATTATTTCGGGATCCGCACATGAAACCAAAAATTAATAATTTATATTAAACATGTATGACCTAATATTATAACGAGAAAATTTGGTGGATGGACGGATGTAAAAAATATTGCATGGATTTGAATGAAATTTAGCCCAGAAGTAGATTATAGCCAGGAATAACACATAGGCTACTTTTACCCTATTACTGCCGATGAAGCCGTTGGCAGAAGCTAGTTAATTTATTTATTATAATACAAATGTCCATTTCTTAGGCATTTTGTTAGACGAAGGATTTAGGCATAGCAAAATTTGTGGTGATATTTAATAACAGGAAGGTAACCCATAGTTTAATGTTGCCAATAAATAAAATATTAATGCAGTTAACCTCAAAGTACGCTAAAGACCTTTATCAGTATTTTTACATTACGTAAATACCTGTCATAATAGGCTTTTATAAATTACTGAAATTAATTGAATGCTCATTAAATATCAAAATCAGTTGGCTGTGTGCCATCGGCTACCCCGCACGCTGTTTAAGATTATCAGCTTCGGTCGTCGCTTGAAACTCATCGAGCACCTTCGAAAAGTTGACAAAATGTGAGTAAGCCTTGAATATTTTTTAAATTCAAATAGATTCACTATTAGTATAATTTTCAGCTTCAAATATTAATTAATTATCCAGTTAAATATAAAAGAAACAGTGATTAACACCCGGTTTCTGAAAGGCTTGTCAACGCTAAAATTAACTAATCTCCTGTTAAATCTCTTGTCAAGTCATCTGATTGGTTGTTGATAATTCAGTCAACCAATCAGATGACTTGACAAGAGATTAAATTGATTTTAACATTGATCGGCCTTTCGGAAACCGGGGGTAAGTGAAGCAAACTCGCACGGATCCAGGCCGGTAAAAATGCATTTGTTTATTGCAATATTATTAAAAATGTTTTATATTAGGAACAGTAATTAAATTGCGAAAACACTGATATTCGAGATACTGTACGTGTTCATAGAGATGATTAATGTCTTCATGTACCTACAGAACGGATAAAAAAAGATGAAGAGGTTATCAAACTCTATGGCATTTATGTCTATGGAAACTACATACAGATCGATATCTTCCTCATTAATCTTTTGTTTTATCGTCCGTTTAGGTTAAAATAAGAAAGCAGGATAAGGGAGCAGTGCCCACGTGTATTTGCGCAAACATTAGTGCACTTTAATAACTTCTACGTGCATCGTGGCTTAGTCTAGGTAGACACTGGGCACAATGATCGAAATCTGTTAGGAGTCTTTCATTCATCATCTAACAACAAGGGTTATGTAACTTCAATATATTTTTTTTCTTTTTAAAATAGCAGTACTTCTAACTGAGTGGAAAATAACAGTAGAATAATAATTGCCGTTAACAGCACTCCTCAAAACAGTAACGCAAACAATAACTCGTTAATCAAATTCCAAAGCAGATACAGTGAACATATGGACAACAAAGTAGTTTCAAATGTTAGTACATATTTCCAACGAGCTAATTCTGTCCTTACGATAACCAAACATGCCAATCCCATGCAATCACGGCTATTTCACGCATGGATACAAAATAGTAGCGACTCGAGGCCACCTAATACGTATTTATCAATAACTATTAATATCGAATTTAAAAATAATCTAAAACGTTAAAATAGCCAGCAAAATCATGTGTTCAAGAATGATCATAAGTATATAAAAATGTGGGAGAGCAAAGCTTCGGCACGAATGGGTCGGCTCGCTCGGATTGATAAGGCGGCCTCACAGAATACCGGCGTGAAACAACCACAGCGTTGTGTTTAGCCGTGTGAGTGAGGTTACCGGAGGCCCAATCCCGCCCTTTCCCCTATCCCTTCCCGATCCTTATATCCGCAACCCCTATCCCCGAAAGGCCGGCAACGCAATCGTAATGTGTGTTCATGGGCGGCGTCGATTGCTTACCATCAGGTAATCCATCAGCTCGTTTGCCAAATTATGCCACAAAAAAAAATTGCAATACAATAGGTATTGAAAAACACCAGGAGTCTAATTGATTTAGTTCTTCGAAAGAACAAGCCACAAATATTTTATTGACGCCCTGGTCTGACGTGGGAGGTTTACTAATGTTCTTATTTAACAATCTACCTAAGGTATTTTTTGAACAAAGGATCTCAGAGTTTCAATTAACAGTATTTTAAGAGAGTGTTAGTGAATTTGCCGTACAGTATTAGTAGACCGTTCAGCAAATAAATAAATTAAATTGAAACGAGTGGGAACTCATGAATGTTCGCACATTAGGTGCAATTTAAGCTCGGCTTTGTCAAAGTTTGAAAATCTGACATTACACGTCGAAAAAACCAAACAAAATATGCGAGAATCTGAATCACATACCTACATTTGTTGTAGGTGTGGTTGAATGAATATTTGACGAGTAATCAAAACAATGGCGAGTCAATGAGTTACCCTACGTCATTACGGTATTCGGGAAGAGAATGAAAGTAGCAAACCACAAAATATTATGTAGCTAAAGTTCATGGGATTTTCCCAACACAATCCTTTGTAATAGTAATCCAATGAATTTATTGCTTATTGCTATTAGTCATGTCATGTCTAGGATGACAATGTGAGTTTGCTTGCCAAAGCTCACTGTATGAGGACGATAAACTAAATTTTGTAGAACTATATACTTACCTACTACAATTTCACTTGCGTGTTCTCATGCTTACGGTTTTTTTTGTGAGGGGAAATTCATCAAATGACTTCTCCCGCCCAGGGCCGGGCGGGAGGGAGTGTCAGACTCTTACTGACTAAAAACCCCCCTGTTCCTTCTCCTGCTCTGTGCCGAGGTCGCGGTGCCTCATTGCGCTTACCCCGCAACCCCGGATCATTCTTAAGGTTACGATATTATTTCTTGCTTTAGAATCATTGCTATTAAAATATGTTTACAAACATAGAGATAATCAGTGAAGATAGCTAAATCGCTTTATCTATACTAATATTATAAAGGGGTAAGATTTGGAAGTTTGTAAGTTTGTATGTAGGGGGTAATCTTTGGAACCGCTGGTCGGATTTCCAAAATTCTTTCACTGATAGATAGCTACAATGTTCCTGAGTGCTATATGCTATTAAAACATGACGCTACGATTATATGGAGTAGCGGGTGAAACCGCGCGAGAGTAGCTAGTAGTTACTAATGTAGGTATTTACCTTCTAACATCAAAAGAACGAGTCAATACAAGTTTTACCTTTTTTGAACAATGATCGATGAAAGTCTGATCGCTTATTCATTGACATTCTTTCCTATGCCCAACGTCATAAAAATACCGAAACAATGATTATGTGTAATAATTGGCGACATAAGGAAATGCAATACAAATAGTTTCCATTTCCAAAAGTTAACATATTTCACGCGGTCCTGTGTATGCCACGTCAGCTAGTTAGTTTGATTCTGTCTGATAGCGTAGATTTTTATGTTTTTAGGATAGATTATCCTATTTGATATATACATATAAATATTCTCTGTATAACACAAAACATGGTATCTCGGTGAAGAGCCATGCTTTGGCATGAATGGGCCGAAGTAATACCACAAGTGACTACACCAAACAGTAAACTGGCGTGAAACACAGAATGAGTTAAGAAAGTCCCCATCCCATAGAGGATATATATTATTTTAACATGATATAATACCGTACTAATTTTAACCTTCGTTCCGAATTTTGTCTCGCCTTACGAAACTATGAAAGGCCTGTCAAGATTCCCAGACACATACAAAACAAAATTGTCGAACAAAAACCGAACCTTTTGGAAGATACCAAGCAGTCTTGTGGTGGTGTTACCAGCAGCTGTCATTGCTTCTCGAGTTCGACCCACGGATGGCAGCTTAGTGGTCACCACCCGATGGTTGCCGATGGTGCCCAAAGTGTACACGTTGGATTCGCCTGTAATGGAATTAAGATTATAAAATTTGTCATTTTCCAACACCGAACGATGTTGTTCGGTTAAGTTACTTCTTTATTGGGTACATTCAATTTTGATTCAAGGGCATGCCATAATGTAATTTAGTGGTCAATCAGACCAAGAAACACGTTAGTTTGCCTTATTTTACGCCAAAGACGGTCCAAAAAAATTATGAATACGACCAGTGTGCCTAGCACGAACATTATCGAGAAAGTATTCGTATCGAGATCGAAAGCATTTTCTATGGGATTTGTACAGCGCCCCTACCGTGCGTAAAAGGAACTAAAAATCGCAAGCACGAATGATTTTGACAACTATCGTATCGTGTTGCTATCGAAACTTAGAACATTTTGACACAAATTGGAAGCACGAACGATCTTTTGACGTATAGTAACGTAAGTTTCGAAGGCTGGCTATCGAAAACTGTCGAAACATTTGTCACTAAGAATTTGACGGTGACAAAGGTTTCGAAATATTTCAATCGTGTTTTAAATAATATATTATAAAGTTTGTGAGTATTCTTTACGAGTATAACATCATGCAAAGAACGCCGCTGTACGAACCAAGTTGGAGAAATAGTTTATTTGTGGCTATTTTACTTGGAGATGAAGAGTCAAGAGAAACTTCGTAAGTAACTAAGTACCTCCTATTAAAGTTATGTTTCACTTAATATAGACATATGTATTCAAGAAAATAATACGAATTAACTGATTGTTCTAGAGAAATCGTGTGCCGAGCTAAATTCAGAAAGATATGTAATCCATTGGATATCACTGAAACGTAGTTTAGAAATACTAGGTACCGCCTAAATAAAAAAGCTTTCAAGTACTTCTGTGAGCAACTCCAACAAAAACTAACCTTATAATGCTAAAATGAAATCAATAGGAGTCGAGTAGCGGGTGAAACCGCAAGGAAGTAGCTAGTATAAATTAGGTTTTCTAATAAATATTTTTTTACAGGTGATTCTGGCTACCCACAGCGACCATGGCTGATGACGCCTACTCATTTTGGATGCGGTAGAGGAAACTCCGGGCCATAATATACTGCAGTAAAAGAAAGAAGAGGCGATGCTTGTGCAAAGACCGCACTCTGCATTAAATGCTCCCAAAAAATGTGTTTGACAACGGCTTGCTGCGTGTTGCATAATTTTCTGATATAAGATCTTCTGATATGAGACATGAAAATGATAGAAGCCATGATTTGATAAGTGAAAGGGCTTTAAGTAATATTCTGGTACAGCAAATAAATATACTACACAGATGACCCAAGTGTTTTATTATTATACATTTCCAAAACATCTTACACACTAATCTAACTTAAAAACTATTCTCACCTATGTTTTTATAATAGGTAACTATAGTGAGACATTTTAAATTCAATTCTAACATAATCTTTCCTCATTCCAAAATGTAGTAATTTAAAATAAAATATGTAAATATACATTAATCATCTTTTTAACTAGATTATATTTTAATACATTTATTGCCTCTCATAAGTTCCAGCCACTGAGCCTGTAAAAGGAGCTCTGCATCTCTCTGTCTTACTCTTCATTCTTCTCGTCGTAATTCCAAACGCTCTTGTTCCATTATATCATATGTTTCCTCACGCTCCCTAGCAAACTCCCTAGGTTTCTTATCATTCTCTAAACACAATTTGATTAAACTCCCTTTAGATTTTTTTTTTCGGTCGAGGCTTCCAGCATTCCTTTTCTAATGGAGGATTGGCGACTGGTGGTGTCGGTGAACGGCTGGCTTCATGGGTACTGCGGAGGCGGAGTGGTCGGAACACTGAAGGCTCGCTGCTTGTCACTGGCATATTCCATGAAATCCACCATTAATTCGTATTGGAGCCGAGTCCTCCTAATTTTAAAATAAATTTAAACTAACCGCATAATAAGATAGCCGCATAATTATCTATCTTACATTCTTTGTTTTGTTTGTTAAAAAAAAATACGTCAATAGCCGTCAAACGTCACCTTTGTCAAAAGAACGTTCGGAAATCGTAAATTATGTTACAAAATTTAAATAACCAAATAATATTTTTTTCATAGATAAGGTCATTTTATATACTTCTTGACTCGTTTTAAGAATTATTTCACGTAATTAATATTTTTTCATTTAAATATAATACCATAAAAGGTGTAGACGAAGGTTGAAATATGTTTAAAATTAATTTTAGTTTTCAGACGAAATCTTTATGTTAAATTATGTTCAAGAATTCATTCAATTCGTTCACTTGGGTGCTTCTCTAGCTTACATTAGCATGACGTCACTAACGAATTCGATTCGAGCTCTCGCTAGACGATACGATAGGCTTCGTGCTGCGACATTCCGTTTTCGTCACATGAAGTATCGACGTCTCGATACGTTAACGTTACGATTACGATAGTCATTCGTGCTAGGCACTCAGATCAGTCAAAGTCTTTCTGAAGGTGGTTTAGGGACGGTACATATCTCGATATATGCTACTCGCACTCGGCACACTAACGCATCAAGAATTAGATGTGGAAATTAAAAAAAATACGTTTCAAAACACACGTCTGTTTAGCGTTACGCAGCGGATGATTCGAGACGAATTTATTGCCAGATTTGAATTGACCCTTTTTAACCCTCCAAGAAAATATCGAATAGGAAATAGACCACATATATTCCTACAATCTGAGATTATTTGTGATTTGAAATGTACCCTGAACGTTGAAGTAACTTAGCAAGCTCAGCTCTTAGGTCCCATATGGGAGTTGTATATTAATTAAGGGTTTAATATGAAATTTGGTGCAAACGTGCATATACTTCACTTAATGGTAAGCGACCAACACCAGATACTCGAAATATTTTTTAGCATTTCAAAAAGAACTCCTTAACTTTCGTTCGTTTTATTTATGAAGCACTTTTCTTTCTTTTCTTTTTAGATTTTGTTAAAATAAAGAATGTTTTACTTCTATTTTTACTGACGACGCCGCTCTATTGCTGTCATCGTGTCTTTAAAATTAGGATGAACCACCTCATTTATTAATTGACAATAATTAGTTAAATACGTAGGTACTTTGTACAAGTATTGCATAAACGATTAAATAACATAAACAATACGTGATTTAGTTTATGTTTACGAGTTACAGGATGATATTTATCCTGTAATGGTGGATTGAAGGGAACTCCCGCACAAGGATATTGATTGAAATAAATAATACAACTGTATACAAAATCCATATAAAGCGGACAAGTTCACTTACTTTGACGTATTAAAACAATTCGCAAACTAATGAATCATTATAAGCAGTGTTTAAATAAAAGGATCAACCGCTGCTATTGATTAGTGTCAATCAACTGCTAATTGGTATAGTCCTATTGGGACTACCAATAATTAAATACTAATTAAGTAATTGTGCAGTTTAATCATCACCTTAGTTGACAATCGTGTTTCGTACATTACACAAGTGACCGGTTTGTGAGTGAAGACATTTTAAGTGTGTTTTAATTTATTATAACAAAAATGGCAGTGACAAGAACATTGTTCGTGTCAGTTTTTATTGTGGTCTTGATAAGTTGCAAGCAATGCGCAGCACGTTCTACCGGAGATATAATAAAGAATGAGTAAGTATTGATCGTGACGATTTTCATTTATTAATATTTTCATTTAATTGGTTACGTATTAATAATACCTTTGTTATTATGTATGAATCCTTAAGTAAATTATAATCTATTTTTAGCTTGGATGTTGCAGAAGGATTCCGAATAGGCTTTGACGGAGATATCACACTTAGGATGCCTGCAGTTATTTCAAGAAATGTAATCATAGTCATCAACGGAATTATAGACCCACATCATGCAACGTATGTATATTTCTTTTTTTAAATAAATGTGTGTTTTAATTTATTATTTAACTAGCTACTTAGCATATACTTCTTCCTTTTCGCTCACTCTTTCCATTAAAAAAACCGAATCAAAATCCAGTACCTAGTCAGTAAATAAAATAGTAAATGTCTACGCATTTTTTTAAAGATATAGGATATTTTAGGATAAAATGACTTTGACTTTATACTATGTAGTAATATAATCCATATTAAGAGAAGTAGGAAGTAGTATAGTACCTAAATGTTTTATTTTAAAATTACAGGTTAACCGTGGAATTGCCATCTGAAAGCGGTGGACAGAGTTGCCTAATACGATACGATTTTCGGGAAAATATTCTTAATATAACACAGGCCGCGGATGGCAATGTTTATACTACTTACACCGACCTCCAAATCTCACCTGAACTTTCTGGTAAATTGTTTTTCTAATTTTATTTTATTTACTCATTGAGATAGTCCAAGGCAATTAATATGAGACGTTTATTGGCTTGAACTACATCAATTCTTTTTTTGAATTTTTAGTTTCCATAGACCGCATTGGGTTTTTTTTAAAAGAAATAATAGTTTTCTTATGTTAGTTGCCTGACACATTTCTTTTTTTTTTGCAGTTGGACCTACGTTTACGTTGACTTTGCATGCAAGGGTCGATACTAGCAACGAGCACCTGCTTGGTGTGACTTTCAATGGAAACGGTGATGGTGACAGTGAACAATTATTGTGCAAGATCCAGAACTTTGAAGACATTGACAAAATAGTGATAAAGGAAGGTGTCGCGATAGTCAACAGTTTGTTTTATAAATTCAAGTGAAATCATTACGAAGCCATTAATTGTCATCTAAAGTCACTTACAGTTGAGTTATTGTGATAAAGTAACACATTTATTATTGGGTGAATATTTTTGGAGACTACGGAGTTCGGAGTTATGCCTGGTATATGGTACAAGACTCGACATTCTTCGTTTATTGCTTCAAAAAGTTTGCATTCCTAACTTTTGTGTTTCAAACGGCTTTCCCCAGCAATGTCTTTGTTGGGAAACCCCGCCACGTTAAATTGTAAGTGCACCTGTGAATATTTGCATCGATTAATGTTTTTGCAATCTTTTGAAGATATATCGACGCTATTTCGCACACAACCAAAGAGATCGGAAAGATATTGCAAACTTTTTTAAATAAATAGTGTAATTTTGTTCGTTGTGCCAAGAGCACGCATGAATTGTGCTAGTGTAAACACCGGTATTAAATGTAAGTATTAAATTTGTACAAATTAATGCATGTACTTAACATTGTAATTAGTGTAATATTTATACCGTAGTTTAGATAGTTGAAATGCTCAATAGGCAAATTGAATGCTCAAATAGGATTAAGACAATGATTGTACCTTTAAATTTTTCTAGTCACAAACCGAGCGTATGGTTCCTATCAATTATTTAGTATTATTGAATATAAGTACAAAATATTAAGTACGTAATAAACTAAGAAATTATGAATTTTAAAATCGTTTAATTTATTTACCTCCTACATTGCGAACCAACGTTGAAATGTGATTACGAAAAGAGATTTATGACTATGTGACTAGGATTAATTAGTTTTGATCCAAAACTAGTTTAGCTAACAAAACGCTGAGTACGAAAAATTATACAACTCGAAACCGATCCACAAATCAAGGGTTACCCTTTGACCAAAACACATATAAAACGATATTTATTTTAAATTTTTTATACATTGATTATTTACATATAACCTAATAGAAGAAAACAGAAGTCACAGAAGAAACTTTCTTAGTTCATTTCCAGAGAAAAGAGACACCCTGCGCCACGGACGGGACCTAAACATTACCTACAGATGATGAGTGGCGTTCCGTTGTATGCATGTGTCTCTGCTTAACCCTACAGGTGTTAAAAGACGTGATACTTAGGTATTATATTAGCGATACTAAAATTAATAAAGGTGCTGTTAGGGTTAGTTACAGCTGATATAAACTTTTATACATACATATGAAGGGAAGGTTTTATTACACAATTTATTGTAATTATTTCATTATTTTTTGTCGCCTAAGTGTACAGGCAAAAATTTACTTGAAAATTTAACAGAAAAAAACTAGGTTGGCCTGTGACTATTTAATATCTAGGAACTATAAGATCATTCAGCAATTTGTCTTTCTGAAAGCAATTCAAGAATGGTTTTTCAAACGCTCCGTATACATTTTATAATAATACAATTATCGGTAAACATTGGATGTGTTCCAAACCGGCACTTGCTACAGCTGTTCCTGGTGTAATCATAGATATTATCTGACTAATTTACGATACATTACACTATGATTAAAGATCTCAACTACATTTCTCATAAAAATGTTTCATTAGGTACTATGCTTTATTTTCAATGCCAAAAATAATGATTTTGTTTCATCTACTGTTTTAATTTGACTTGAAAACAACATAATCAACTCAAATAACAAAAATAGAATAACGAATAATTGAAAAATATCGACTTCAATCAAAATAAATATGAATGTATTAAAGTAAAAACGTTACTTTTCGTTCAATTAACTGTGTTGTGTGTACATCTATGGAGTGTTTCAGTAGCTATTTATTCACATACATTTTTTAAATTTCAAATTCGAGTGATATTAATAATCTATCGTAATCCGATTGACCTATTTTTAAAAAGAAATCAATTCCTTATCAATGGGTTTTAAATAGTAGTACTTATCTCTTAAACAGTACTCTAATACAAATACAAATTCAGAGACACAATAACTTAAAATAAAACTTATCCATCCAAACTAATATTATAAATGCGAAAGTCTGTCTGTCTGTCTGTATTTTCTTCATGCCTAAACTACTGAACCTATTTGTGTGAAATTTGGTACAGACATAGTTTGAAACTCGAGAAAGGACATAGGATAGTTTTTTAATCAAAAATTTGCAGGAAGTCACTATTCCACTCGAACAAAGTCGCGGGCAAAAGCTTGTCTTTTATGAAGCTGCCTTCACACGGGATTCTATTACAGTAGAATGACCAATAGAAGCGCTGCATTTGAAACTTGCAATTATTTAATTTTCAGTCCAATCGTCACTTAGACTAGGACCTAGTGCAAAGTAATAAAATACAATGATACACAAAATCTTATTCTATTTTGAATCGGGACAGGAAGATATCACTTTAGTCCAGTTAAGCAAAATACCCTCGTTCTATACAGTTATTTGGGAAGTAAATGCGACATTGACTAACTATATATGTATAAAACGGTATATTGCAACTGCTTCAGAAAAGCTCTACTAGATTCGTAACGTCCGCCGCACGCGCATCTCTTGAATTTCGAGTCTTGGTGTGACTTGAAACTAAGCAGATTTCTTGAACACCATAATTGTCCATCAGGTGAGTTAGCAGTATATTACAATCTATTAAATATTATTACTCAACTCTTTCTTGGGCCATAGAAAATAACGAAGTATTTCAGTCAATATTTTGAGCTCAAAAACAGCTATTATTAATCAATTTTGTGGGGTTTATTGTAAAATACTAAACTTTGCGAAATAAAGATAAATCACTACATAGTCTAAAACAAAGTCGCTTTCTCTGTCCCTATATCCTTTATGCACCTGTGTCTAAATCTTAAAAACTACGCAACAGATTTTGATACGGTTTAATTGATAAGAGTAATTTAAGACGATGGTTTATATGTACAGGTTATTAAACATCCATTAAACAGTGAAGAAAATTAGTAACAACATTGTTCCCGTGCGAATTCGTGGCGGATCATTAGTTAAATAATAAAATAATCTTAGGAGATGTTATCGCAGACTTTTTTAAGACCTGTTGCAAGTGTACGACGCTGTTGCGTATGCGTTATTTTTATCACGAGATTTTAATAAAACCTCTTTTCCTTCTCCTGCTTCTACTACTTACTGCGCTTGATCTGAGACCTCGGTTAAACATCGACCCCTTCTATTTTGATCAACCTTTTAGGTAACATATACCTATGTATGTGCCTTATTAAAGCTATAATGTATGTAACATACTGCACCCGTGTACGCCAGGGTAGGGTATACAGAATTCCTACCTACTTTATAATAGGTTTTGCATGAAAAAATTTAAACGAATTTTTTTATTTGAAATGCGAGAAAAATGTAATACTAATCAATAAACAAATGACTACTTTTGGAAAAAGAATAACAAAAACTATTTTGATTTGAAATGGCCAGTACTGCAGAACGGCAATTTCATAGGTAAAGTTTTTTTATTTTATTATTTCAATCATCTTTGCAATGTGAGCGCAAAAATTACATTCATTAACAATGTCATAATTTCTGTGTAAACCTTTTGTGGACGTCCTGTGCCCTAAAAACTATAATTGGTGTTTCTCCCAAGAATCCCTAAAAACTATAAGTATAAGTGGTTTTGCTATTCTGCTATGCATGTAACATACTTATATACATATTTCAGTAAACATAAATCAATAAATATTTTAAGAAAACCAGCATCAAATTTCGTTTATAATGTTTAAGTATTTTTGTATATTTATAATTTCGTATCAGGTAATAAAATACAAGATCAAACATAGATAAAATATAAATAGTATTATGTAAATAAGAGTTCTGATGATATTTCCGCGATTCAATAGATAAGGAAAAGTTTTTAATTAATGTTGTCGTTGATTTTCTAAGTACTGAATAATTATATATATTCCCTTCATTTAGCTGTAAACTGCTAATTAGAATGTTAATACGTATTATGCAAATAGTAGGTATAATGTCTAAGAATTACATAATGTTAATCCCAAGTCCCAGGAAACTTTATGAATAATGTATTAGATATAATATCAATAGGAAGGAACATTGGTTAAGTTACCTAGGGATCGCTTTTTGCCTTTAAACACTGTTTTACTGCCCCCACATACGAAGATGCTCAAAAGATCCGAAGAAGACTTCCCAAAGATTGTTCTCTTGTGACCGTTAATTTTTGTGTCAGACTCTTGAGCGAAGTTGAGATTACTATCATTACTGACTGAATTACATGAACTCAAAATGATACTATGATAAAACATTTTATGTGTAATGAATCTAGGAAGTATCTAGGTATCTGTTACATACTTAGGAGTTCGTCTTTTCTTTTTCTTTTTAAACTTTGTCCCACATTTCTTTTTTATCATCGGTGCTTTACTAACATACAATTCCACATTCGGAACAACAATTTGTAGATCACACAATGAAGGAATCGAGCCGTCGACGAACTTTTGACTGCACGGTAGCCGGTTACCCAACCACGGCGTCGCCCAGTTAAAACAAAAGTTCTAAGTAAGGCTACTTACGTAAGTTAACGTAAAATTATTTAACATCGATACGCCATGTAGGGACATATTCAAACAAACACGCTAATAAGTTGTAAAATCACAAGTTTAACCTTCAAAGTCGCCGTAACGGAGATTTCACAATGCGTCGTTGTGTATTTACAAACATGACAACCGTTGGTTCGTAACCGTACTAGTATTAACGTGCCGTATGGATATTTTATCAGATTTTTTTCCTGATAACAATGTAGGTACCTACATAACTATATGACAAATCCATTCAGTATAAAGATTAAGGCGTTGTAGATCGATATTTAGTCAATGGTCTGTAGGTGTCGGGAGTGCACACACAAAATGAAACGCGCAACAGGAAACACTAATAAGACCCAAGAAAAAAAAGCCAAGTAAGTCAGTTTTTAGAAATAATGTGGCGAAAATCGTTACATTTAATTATTTAGAACGTGTTGCCATGCCTGATTAATTTTAAGAGAGTACTTAGAATCGATAGATTAATTTTATTGATGTAGTTTTCATACAATTTATTATTTGTTAAAATATTAGAATTTTTTTTGAAATTTCTTAAGTACCAGATGTTTTAGTAAGTGTCAGTTAAGCTAAAAGAAACATAATCGGCATGGTCAAAACTAAGCGTAAGAAAGAGTGAACACATATTACAATACGGTAATCTAACCAATATTATTTTAAATACAAAATTTTGTAAGTAAGATGATATTTTGAATTATTTTGTTACTCTTTCACGTATCTAACTACAGTACGGATATTTCAGATTATAGTCGCGTAAAACACATGGGCTACTTTTTACCCTATTTCTATGGACAAAGCCGTTAGAGGAAGCTGGTACTTATTGAATTATATTATATATGTATAATATGTATATGTATGGAGATAATGCTAACAGTATAAAAACCCCCAGGTTAACTGATACAAAAAATATTAACAATTTGCAGTAATTTCTCAGAATGAAACTAAGTTTATAATGTTATTGTTATCATGTTATCAATATTATCACAACTCTCAGGTCAAGTAGGTACGTAAAAACACAACAATGAAGTAAATAATCATATACATATGCATGTACTAACACAATCGATTATACTAAGTAATATAAAATCCAAAGCAGGAATTCTGTAACCAGTTTTCTCACAGCATCTGTCTTACGTTACACGTGTATACACAGCGAGTGAATGTATTCATCAGTATACGAGCTGCAGTATCAAGTGAAATGTTGAAGCGAGCCTACGTGTCTTTGAAATGACGTAGTGTGCGATCCACGAGATTTCGAGGTCGGTTGGTGGGATTAGTGCCTGTGTGTTTGTTTTCATCATTACGTCATCATAGAACAACTTCAATCTCAGATTCGTCTTTCGCAGTCACGAATAGTTACGATGGAATACACACGCCAGTAAACGTCTGACGTGTAAGAAAAGTATTGTGTATCGAAATAATCCAAGATGTTGAAATCGTGTTGGGAGTGCCTTGGGGGAATTGGGTATGACTTAATTATACCTATCGTAGTATATCATACCCTATAAAATATAATAAGAATTGATAAGTTAAAATCAAACAAGAAGTGTAAATAATTAATTCATGAACGTGACAATTTTTTAACCTCAGTGAAATTATTCCCAGACGCAACATTTTATTTGTCAATGTCACTATTTGTCTAATGTCAGTACTTCGTGAAATGTCAAACATTGTGTTTTCGATAGACTGACCAAAATAATATCGTCCCGAAAAAATTGGTAAACAGTGAAATAATGTTACGAATCTTAAATCTTAATCAAGGCTTTTGTGAACTTAGTGAAATGACACCTGAGTCGCCATCGCATGGCGTTATATTCTGTAGTTTTTAGGTTATTATTAGTTCAATACGAGTAAACAACAATTGGAAATTATTCATGAACGATTAAGAATGTTGTACCTGTAGTTCAGTATGCACGTAATACGCTCTTATTGATATACATATTTGTCTATTGCATTAGAAACGGGGCGCCAGCCGATGAGCCATATAACAGTTTGCATCTAAACGGGAACGGGACCGTCGGCGTTGGTAGTCGAGCTCCGCCTTGGCCTGTACCACGAAAAGCGAACGAAAAAATGTTTTTGTTACCAAAGCAATTGGAGCCACATGACACAATTACCATCAACTGTGAAACTACTTCAGAACCAACCAGGTATGTATATTGCATTAAAAATATCTGCCAGTCAAAATAACAGTCAGTGTTAGTGCCAATATAAGATCTTATAGGGTTAGGAAACATAAATGATATTATAATTAACATGTTTACATGACCTAATTTCATGTTAATTCTGAATGGTAGTAGATAAACCAATCTCTAACCTTTTCCAAACAATTAAAATTAATTTAAAGACTGTATTTCTGCAATTTCAAATGGCAAAATGTTAATGATATAAGTATTTGAATTAGTAAAGCAGATTTATACACTGTTTGTAAACACAAAAAAAAACTGTTAGCTTATCCATGTAAATTGTATGATAACTAGGTCTTATCAGTTTTACGGAATAGAATTAACGAATCCTTAATTTGCATTAATTTCAGATTAACGTTTGGGTTGGTAACGGGATATGACGAACCAGATTCTGACAATCTCGCCTGTCAATTAGACATGAACTTTACAGAATCACAGAATGAAGATACATCATTACAACTAACAACAGTTTATCAGGGCAATACCAATGTTGTGTTTACAGATACAGCAAAATCTTATTTTGATGGTAAAAAACGTATGTTTTTGCATTAACTTTTAGTTTCAAGTGGTTTCTGGGATTGATGTGACTAACTACTCCGTTACTTAATTGGTTTGTGAGCTTTTTCCATTTTAAAATTATTTTCTAATACTTACTTTATAAATCTGCTATAAGTACTGTCTTTTTCTTTTAACCAGAAACCAAACTTTGCACTATTAATACTTCAATAACAGCTTTTTTTATTTCTTTTTTTTTGTTTATAATGTGTATGAATTAAATAAGGTATGACTTTTTCAGATACCAATTTCGAAATGAAGTTCATCTTAAGAAATGCTAGGGATAATGGATATGTATTGGATGTACATATAGGAGCATCATATTTGTCCTCCGTGCCACTAGAACATGACGTAAGCAGTATCAAATTTATAACTATAAGCGGTGATATTAAGAAAATAGCTAAACTAGGTTTTGAATTTGGATATAATGATTAACAGACACTTCTTTTAGTTAGTTATCCAACTACAAAAAACATGTCTATCTTTAATGTTCATATTGTTGTGGGTACTTGTGTATTCTTATTAAATTAATTAGATTGACTAAGTAGTACAGTACGGCCGCCGTATCTTGGCGAGTCGGAAGTTAGCCGTCTGTCTGCGCAATGGATCTTTTAGGAACAAAATTGTGTACTGCACAGCTAATCGGCTAACTTCAGACTCGCCAAGATACGTCGGCGGTATTGTAAGTATTTCAGTTTTCAACCAGTACAAGTTGTTCAGGTTTTGCTACTTAGCTCAGATAGCTTAAAGATAGATTGTATTTTGGTAAATACTTTTACCAAAATACAGTGGTTTTAATGGACATAACACATATATTTTAAGATATAGTATTATAGCAGCTATTATTTATTTATTAGAAGTTATTGTACTATTGCAAACTTATTGTATTACATTTGTGGATTTAATGTATTTGATATATTATGAAACAGGTGTTGCTACTGAGAATGAATTGGACTTGAGTTTTACACAATCCAAGTATTTTATGCAAGTGTATTGTTTATTATCACATCATAAACACTTGTATTGTCTGAGAATAATGTATTTCCTACATAAGCATTTAGATATTATTCCCTACAATTAGTAAGTAGATAACCAATACTAGTTAAAGTGATCTTTCCATGTTTATTGTATTTAATTCAAATATGTAAAACATTTTTCACTACTAGTATTATAATTTCGATACCTACTTAAGAATGTGCAAATTCATTGATATGATTATCATTATACTAACTTTTAAACTTTCGCGTTTCATCTTAACAACATTATATTTACGCGGCAGACGGCGGTCTGCTTGTGACCACGACCTGTGCAACCGGGTCGAAACGTCAAGCCTACCAAGGTATTCAAATTATAATTTTCCGCGTTAATACCCGCGTAAATATAATGTTGTTAATGATTATCATTCTTGCAATAAATATAATAATAATTTGAATTAAGAGTCCGGCACATTTATTATCTGAAGAGGTTACGTAAGCTATATACGGAAATTAATGTTAAACAGTTAATAGTTACTATACAAGTAAGTGCAACTTATTACTTCAAGAGAAAATGCACTCAATACGTTTTATCTTAAAGTATACATTCATATGAAGCTATTGCCCATAAATTGGTCACTGTCAGGTACAAGTATTTGTAAAAAAAAATCACCTTGATAAAGACCTTGCCTACGTCATGTCACCGTGACCATCAAAGTTAATTAAACAATGTTACTGAATATTCAACCTTAAAACTTGTATTTTACGATATGTTTTTATTTATGTTGTTCTTGTTAGCCGCTAGGAGACGTGACTTGTATTAAAAATGAATGTAATTGTCTCATGAATCAACATTTTCATGAACCTGTAGAATTTACGTTGTTTTCAATATTTAGTCTTTTAGATCCCACCATTTTACTTATATAGATATAAAAGTATGTTTTATTGTACTTGAATAATAAGAAAATAGAATAACAATATGTATCCGAACGCTGGCGTTCGCTTGGGGTTTGGTGGATTAATACGTCAAAGCATTTGCATATTTATATGTTTGCTAAAGCATAATATACATTATAAATGTACCGGATTCCAGTGTTGAAATACCTATCAAGTATCGAGTATAGAGTAGCTTTTGATTATTCTTCCTAGTCTCTGTATATGCTTGTTAAGCATTTATGTCTTGTAACATAGATATAATATATTTTACTGCATGTTTTTTAAACATAATAATTATGTTATTGTTTTAAATTCCTAGTGATATTTATTTAGGCATGTAAGTGAAGTGTATTTGTGACATTAAAGGAAAATGAATAAAATTTTTAATCTCGTAATTTATTGTTTTTTAATTTTAATTGAAACTCAAGATTTCTTTATTCATCCCATTTCATCCGAAATAAAAATAACCGATAAATATTTTCTATTCGAATTGAGAATTTCCTTTTTTGAAGTCTATTTATCCTACTGAAATTAAAAATGTGAAAGTTTGTGAAAAAAATAACAATAAATAAATATTTGAAATAAGATTACATCTTTAATCAGATGTGAAATATGCACATGGGGTTTAGTTTTCATAAACATTTTTGAAAGCACTACTAACTTATGTGTGAAGTGGGTTATTCACTTTCAACTTTTGTATAAGGAATCTGTATGTGAAACTGATTTAAAAAGAGTAACCATGGAGTTTCTTGCTCGTTCTTCTCCATCGGAATCTACACTTTGGAACGAGCAAATAGTTTCACTAAGGGGACTGACCGACAGACTAACACTATATCTAAATTTTGTTTGACATTCAAAAGTGCCTGTAAGGGTCTTATTGGGATAAATGATTTATTTTTACTTTAGTGTCTCAACACCCCAAAGAGCAAAGCTTAAACTACCAAATTATTAGTTTTATAAAACAGAGTCTATGGTACAACAATAGCATGCTATTAAAACTGTAAGGGAAGGGTTTTTCTTTTTCCTATAAAATATTACATCTCTTTAGGAGAATCCCGGCGCGGCGCTACATAAGGTATGTTGATAATTAATTGTTTATGTAAATAATTACATACTATTCTCATTATAGGCAATATAAAATGTAGCAAGATCTTGTACTGACGTCAATGTAATATGAACGAGTCGAGCAGTCTACCCATACTGAAGGAAAACAAAACAAGTGTAGGACAATTTGTTTTCCTTCAATATTTCATTCATGAAATACACTGCAAGTTTTATAGTAATAAATAATAACAAGTAACCGGAATCCGGTATATAAATAAATATGTGTATTTATATACCGGGGCCTACCACGACGTGTAAATGCGTGAATCTTCCGGGCAAGAAAGAGTGATGGAGTCACCTTTTATAGCACTGATGTGTGTCAACTTAACGCTAGTATGAAATTCTCCTTAAGATTTTCCTAATCGTAGAACAGGTAAATATAATTATTATATTAAGAATTATATGTAGGTACTTACTTTATATTATAAGTACAATTAGGTTGACGTCAATTATTTATAAATCTTGATAGGTGAGTAAGACGAAGGTAAAATTCTTGTGACTAATGCATTAGATTTTTCTATTGACGCAATTGCGCAAGATGATAAAGTTTTCAAGTAAGTACCTACGTTTACTACCTAAATATTCTTAAACTTATTAAAACTTCGTCATTTATAAAACAGTTAGTTGGTTAGTAAATAAACGTCGTTAATTGCAAGGTTGGTGGGGTGGCTGGGCAACTGGCTGCCATGCAACGTGTCGCGGGTTCGATTCCCGCACGGAACAACTCTTTGTGTGATCCACAAATTTTTGTTCCGGGTCTGGGTGTGATACCGCAACCCCGGCTTCAAGCCGGGCCAAGAACGGTAGTTTTCAGTCAGTAAGAGTGAGACACTCCCTCTAGCTCGCGAAGGGCAAGAAAGAAGAAATTTGATGATTACCCTTCCTTAAAAAATTAAGGTTTTTTTGTAGTGGTAGTGGCCTATAGACCTGCAGTGGAATTTCTGTGATGTATGCAACTTAACGAATACATTAACTGCGATATTATTAGAGGTTTTATTTGCCAATTCAGATGGATTGAGGAATTAAAGCATGATTCGCCATGGTTAACGCGTTTCAGACTATTATTATGAGAAATGGAGGTTGAAATACCTTAGTGACCGTTAAAGCTATTTCTAGATTCACAATAAAAAATAAACGGCGTTCTTGGTGTTTGAAATTGGTCATCTGGCATTTTACAATTTCTTGTTCAAGTGAAAATATTTGTTACTTATAAAAACAATAATATGTTGCTGCAAAGTTTGTAAGATAAACTTAGAAATACTATCGTGCAAAGCAAATAACCAAAGCGATTGTTTATCGATTTTGGTGTGCATCACTACACCATTACAATGTGGGATAATTTTTTCACAAAATGACAGTATTCAATGTCAAATGTGGAATCGAATTAAACTTCTGCCTATAGAGCAAGTTTTTAATAGATTTTACCTCTTCAAAAAAAGAAAATTGCATGATTTTCGATTAGAAGTTTGTGAGAAAACCAAAGCGGCGTAAACACTCCATTTTGATAGGGAAAAATTATCGAAAGACTTCTCCCGCCCAGGTTAGGCGAGAGAGAGTGTTAGACTCTTACAACCGGTTTCCAAAAGGCCGATCAATGTTAAAATCAATTTAATCTCTTGTCTAGTCTTGTAAAGTCATCTGATTGGTTGACTGAATTATCAACAATCAATCAGATGACTTGACAAGAGATTTAACAGGAGATTAGTTAATTTTAGCGTTGACAAGCCTTTCAGAAACCGGGTGTTACTGACTAAAAACGCCCCCGTTCCTTCTGCTGTTTTAGGCCGAGGCCGCGGTACCTGATTGCGCTTACCCCGCAACCCCGGCGGCGTAAACAGTCTTAAATGTAAAGCTTAGTAGGTACAATGACCTTTATTAAATAACTGTATCCTTTTATAATTCACTAGCAACCCGCCTCGGCTTTACACGGGTGTAATGCTGATACTTACTAAATTTCTTTACCATTTAACGAATTTTGACACTTACAAACCTTCCTCTTCAATCACTCTGTTAAAAAAAACGCATCAAAATACGATTCGTAATTTTAAAGATTTAAAAGCATACCTACATCTATACTAATATTAAAAAGAGGTACCTAGTTTATATGTAGGGTATAATCTTTGGAACCGTTGGTCGGATTGCCAAAATTCTTTCACTGATAGATAGCTACAATGTTCCTGAGTGGTAGATATAGGCTATAAAAAATCAAGCTACGATCAAATGGAGCCGAGCAGCGGGTGAAACCGCGTGAGAGTAGCTGGTAGGGATATATTGACAGAAAAAGAGACTTTGTGTGAAGTGATTGTACAAGTACTGTTAGACCCAAGTTTAATACTTGCCATTGTCAATGAAGAATGTGATAAGATTTTAAGTGCATGAATCACTAACAGGATTACGTGTCAAGTACTTAATACGTAATATACACTCGTTTCAAGGCAAACTTTGTTTTTATTATGAGACAATATCGTGTTTGATTTGCCTTGTAGCTGAGGAGAATAAAATTGACAAAGTCAGTCAAAAATTGTTGAAAGTAAGAAAGAAAAGTACCAATGTGAGTTTTTCCAAGTTATTCATACAAACTTTCTATGATTTATTTAGACACCACTGACGTACAGTGAAGGATAACCTAGTGAGGAAAGCTCCACGCTTGCTCAAGGGATTAGTGATTTCAAACTTACGTAAAATTAGAAATTATATATTCAAGTTTCCCTCATAGTTAGTTCGCGGCGTGTACACAGTCTTAGGAATTAAATGTACTTCCTTGGAACTCGGAAAATATCATGTTGATGACGTGGTGGCCCGGATGATAAGGCGCCCTTTTCTCATGCATGAGGGTGCCGGGTTCCAAACCTGGCAAGTACCATCGTGACTTTTCTAAGTTACCTATACATATGTATTTTCTATGATTATTTAGACACCACCACACTGACGTACGGTGAAGGTTAACAAGGTCAGGAAACCTGGACTTACAATTTATAATTATAAGTTTTAAATCGCCAATCCACCTTGGGCAAGCGTGGTGATAAATTCTCAAATCTTCTCCGTGTGAGAAAAGAGCTTTGTTCAGCAATAGCCATGTTTGAGCTGATGCTGAACTGAAGTAAAAAAAAGGAAAGGTATTTTTGTGAGAGTGAGATGCATGTTGAGTGTGATAACATGTTTTATTGTTATATACCTACGGTTTATTTTTAACAAATACTTTGACTTTGAGCTATGATAGCGATTAACAATTAAATAAGGCTGTCATTTCCACACCTACATGCATTGAAGTTAGATAAGATGATTAATGTTTCTCAAGTACGTACCAATCAGAGTAGGTATTGTACTACATTTGCAAGTACCTAAGGACAGTCTTATATAGACAATACATTTTCAACTTAATTACGTTTGAAATAGAATTGAAAATCTTATCCGAAAGCTAAACGTCCTTTCTTATACCACTACATTACACATATGGTCAAATTGCAAAACGATGAAGTAATGCACTATAAATATATTGTTACATCAATATGTTAATTAGTCACCTTTTAAAAATAATTATGATTATGTTCAAGTTATTTTATGGAAGTGAATGGCAATAGTAATGGAGGAGGACGTCCTATCGGTTTTTTTGTAGGCCCTACAGTAAACATTAAAATACACAGTTATATGATTAAGGGCTGATTTTTCAATGCTAACAATAAAAGTTATCTGCGGAATAATTATAATGCTGTCGCGTCAGAATGTTCGTATAAGACAGTGACAGCAACAATTTTATTCGTCAGATAACATAACAGACTATTGAAAAATCAGCCCGAAGTTAAGTAACATTGAGCAAATTGGTATAACAAGGTATAATATATTGGTGGTAGAACAAGATTTTTTGTGGAAGAAAAATGAAATCACCTGGACCAAAAAAAGACAATTTTTTTCTATTTCTTTGGTAGCCCGGTAAAAAATCATGAGCAAAGCTTCGGGTAAGAGCTAATCCTAATCTAAAAATAAGCGCGAAAGTTTGTAAGAATGGCAGGATAAATGTTCGTTTCTCTTGAAAGTAAAAAAAAAGGATTTTGATGAATTTTGCACCGAAATATATCAATTGTTCTCTGGAATAACACATAGGCTACTTTTATCTGAGTAACACGGGCGAAGCCAATAACAGGAGCTAGTTTACAATAATGTTGACTAGACTCTTGTTAAAATGATTGCTTAAACAGATGCTGTGCAACATCGCAGATTAGATTACCATAAAGACAAGACTGCGATGCAATATCTTATTTTTTCATATGATGGCGTGATATGTTAAATCGTTTATTTCAAAGTCAGTTTTATCGATCTGATGTGTGTGTTAGGTGCCTACTCGATATTATGCACTTTATGATTGATTACTATCCTATGATCCTTGCGTGTAATAGAAAAACAAAAAAGGTTTTATCTGTTACGTCAATAGGTCCCGTAACAGAATACTTTAGAGCCATATTCATAATATAGAAGAATAGTGTATACATATTTTCAGCTACACATATAGAGCTAAGCGACAAAAACGCGTCATTTAGCTTAAATAAACTCGAATTAAGCACTCTTGAAAATGTAATTGCAAGAATCTACTTCATAAACATACCTAGCATTAAAATAATTCTAGTTTTGAACGTGGGAATTATATTTCGACACATGGCATGACAAATAGGCTGGTTGAACAAGTGATTTCACAGAAAACCAGCGTGATATAACGCCTACGTTGAATGTGAGGTTTTAGGAGATTGACAAACTATCGGTAACATACTTGTAACTCTTCTAGTATCGTGGGTGGCGACAATTGCTTACCATCAGACGATCCAACCTCTTTTTACAGACCAGTCACATAAAAAAATGGACTTACCAACAGTGGTGTACCGCACGTAGGTCTCCTGGTTATCCATCATGGCATCGACGGCTTGTTTCTCGCAGTACAACGCGGTTATAACTGCTATACTTGGCTGGCGCGATGAACACAATTGTGGCATTTGTTTCACAACCTGACAAAGATAAAAAATATAAATAATAATCCTTGTACGCCTTCCAAAGCACCCTGTGGTCCCGTGAACGGAAGCGAACATACAAAATAATAATAATAATTGTGTCCCATTTCATTTAGGTTAAACTTGTCTAAAGGGCCTCTGTGCAGTTAGCTCCGGCCCCTCGCCTCCCAAACGACCGGGATCCTTAGGTCGCGTAATTGAAAGACATACAAAATAATAATAATAAATAAATCTTGAAGACTGTATGATTTTACTTTACTTTAGATATTTGTTTAAGTAATAAAAGCTAAGACGAAGAGTTTTTCAAAATCGACTTTGTCCCCACATTACGATTTTGCCTGTGTCGTGGTTGCAATTAAACATAAAAATTGCATCCACTAAGTGAGGGAATCGAACCCGCTACACACAGTAATCAGTGTCAATCTTACACTCATAGTTTCAGTGGTTGCGTTGCAATACTACAACCTTTACTATGGTAAAACTGTTACTTTAAAGGAACTACCAGGAATTGCGATATATTTAAGAAGAAATCTCGTTTGCCGACTTATACCTACATAAAATATAGGTATACAAGTGGCGCCATCTATTTCCCGAATAATGAAACACTAGCGCATATACTAAGAGTAAACAATGGGATTGCGCTTAAGACAACAATTTATAACAACCTTTTGTACCATTTTGGCATATTTAAGGGTGCTTGTAACTTGTAAAATTTATTCTAAGATTTTCGAGAATACAACTACAAAATGAATTGCGCACTTTTTTGAATATCTACTTAATTTTTCTTTCATCTTAAATGTATAACATGCTTCATTCCATACCCGGAAAAATATAATATTGCAACAAATATTACCTGTGTATCTACACTATGCTGTCGGACGTAAACGCCTTCTGACATGGCCCGTGTCAGACCTTTCTCCTCTAACGCTTCCAAAGCGTCTTTCACGTCTGCCTTCGACCATTTCCCCGCTCTGTAATAAAACATTTGATTAACTATGTTAAAAAAGAAAATTTTATGTTTCCAATAACAATATCCTTATTGACATTACATAACTTTTTAGCGTCGAGAGAGCAAGAATGTACACAATATAGAGTGATACTTTTTATATGTATATTTATATTTATACACCAAAAGCCAGGTGTTCTGAGGCGTTGTAAAAGTCAGCTCATAGCTAAAACTGTTTCTTCTAAATTGTATGCTAGCTATAAATTAAATGAGGCACCGCGACCTCGGCCCAGAGCAGGAGAAGGAACAGGGGGGTTTTAGTCAGTAAGAGTCTGACGCTCCCTCCCGCCCGGCCCTGGGCGGGAGAAATCATTTGATGACTTTCCCCTCACAAAAAGAAGCTATAAATTAAATGACTTTTTAACCCAGAACAAGCGACTACTATAATGTTATTTTCTAACATGTTTGGTTACTGCCCAACCCACCACAGTCATCCCAGCTAACGTTCACCACGCTTCATAATACAACTAGCTGAAGTATTTTACTTATGAACTGAGAGCAAATTGTGAGTTAGAGAAATCTGACATTGGTCTATTGCTATTATTAGATATACCCTTTATCTCGATTAGGCTATTCCCACCAGACAAAACGTAATGTCGAACATGAACATGATCTATGTGTTTCAAACACAACGTGGGAAAACACCTACCTAATTATCAAGAAATTAAGATCCAATTTCCCTAAACACAATGGACTAAGAGAAAATTGTGAATCAAAGAAATCTGTTATTGGTTTCTGGACTATTTGTGGATACCCTTTCTCTCTATTATAGGCGATTCTCACCCGACAAAACGAAATGTCGAACTTGAACAAATTAATGACATGAATGAATAACTGTTTACAATGAATGTTAAAACTGATTGTATTCCACAGATTTTGAATTGAATCTCTTGTGTATTCAAACACGACGTGGGAAAACACCTAATTATCAAGAAATCAAGAACCGATTTCCCTAAACATACTAACCTAATTCATAATATTAAACAATCTCACGGATGGCAGTTTTCTAAAACAAAGATCGTGGGAAACTAATCTTTATTGTAAGAGAGGTAAGAGTTTGTTTAAAACATGTGCAAATGGTACTTACGTGACAAAATCGTCAACAGTCAATGGGTTGGGATATGCATTTTCTATCATGTCCAATACTCTCTGTTCTGAGATCACTTGCGTTTGATTCAACACACTATCTTCAATGTACGCTAAAATTAAATAAATATGCATTAGTCTTAAACATCATTAAGAAACATCAAACAAAATTAGCTTAATATTTGTAAAAATCTGCTCAATTGCATGTTCTTGATCCGATCTGATCATCGACCATTGTTCATCTATCCCAGGCCCATAGCAAGATTACTATCTAGCTGCTAAGATTAAAATTAGGTAGAATGTTTTGTATTATGTAAAATTTTATTAGGGCGTGATAATTTATTATTTCCTTTGCCCAAAAACAAAAGCTTAGTTATATTTATCTAGTCTAGCTTACTATACTATACAAAAATTTGCGCAATTTTGCGCAAAGCAATTTTTTTTGCGCAAAGCAATTTTTTTGCGCAAGTCATTTTTTGCGCAAAATATGCATTTTTAATGAGAAACCTTATTACCGTTAAGTATCACGCACCGAAAAGTTACTTCTTAAAACGATAAATTAGTCTAATCTAGATTCAAACAGGTACAAACAATACAAAACTCATGCAATCAGTACATTAGTGGATTGCTTCGAAAGGAGAGAATTGTGTACGATAAAATTAATTGTCCTACCGGTTACTAAGAATATGATATAGTTACGTCTATTTTAATAGCAATTAGTACATACTTGAATGCGTCTATTCTAAGTATTAAAAAGCAAAAATAAATGTATGACTATAAAGCCAAATAAATATGTTTATTATTAAAATTATATTGATGCAACTAGATGTTTTTTAAATATCCTTAAAATGCGAAAGTGCATCTATTTTTTTTTTATATTATTTTCGTGTCTGGAGATAGGTAAGAGGTTGATGAGAAATATCTATTGGTACATTTCTTTGTTAACTATAGGGATGAAGCCGAGAAAAAAATCCATTTGTAGTGGCATGAAAATGAGTGCTTTTTAAACTAGAATACAAATACTATTCTTATTTATGTTTTTTGTATGTAGAGAGGGGAGAATCCTAAATCTTCAAATCGCTTCTCCCACCCTGGGTTGGGCGAGAGGGAGTATGATACTCTTTCTAACTAAAAAAAACGCCGTTCCGAGCCGGTCCGGACCGGAGCTACGGTACAATATTGTTTCTTACACCCGCAAACCCAGCTGGTCTTTTCTTAGGGCAGATTTTTCAATAGTCAGATAAATGTAATCTGAGGAACAAAATTGTTGCTGTCACTGTCTTATACAAACATTCTGACGCGACATCATGATAGTTATTCCCTAGATAACTTTTATCTAACCATTGAATAATGAGCCCTTAGTAGAATACTTAAAATGTAAGCTACAACTTCGCGATTTGCAGGTCTACCTAGCTAGGTCTAAAGTCTAATATCTAATTTCAAATGTAATTTTGTGATTTTAGAATAAATGTGTTTTCTTTCTTTCTAGAAAAGAAAGACGTTGTGGTGCACAATATTTTCTATACCAAAAGCTATATAGCTCTGTGCACAACTAAACGAGTGTGTTATCTGTTTATTTAACTATTGTTGTACTATGTTTTTTTCTTACCCACAAGCGTCGTTATAGGGATAGTTGACAAAAAAGTTATAAGATTAATGTTTTTGTAGCTGTTTTTACCTATATATTATGTAGAATTGTATGAATTTGACAGAACATTGCTATTGAGATTTTTGTAATTAGTAGGCAAATTATTATGATCAAATTATAAGGCATGATATATTTATAAATTAGGCCTGTTTTAACATAATGAAGTCAGGTATTATTTCATCAGGTAATGCAAAATATCAAAATATGAATAGATACATAACTCAAACAGTCATAGAATACAGTACATACATGCATAATAGTAATACATACTAAAATAATATACATACAGCCATTAGAATAGTTGTATATAACGCTCTTACTCGTAATAACGCCATTTGCTTCTGTACCATAAAATTAAAAAAACAAATGTACTTATTATTATTTTATCAAGCTCTATAATATATAATATTTTCTTTGATATCGGTACAGACTGAACAAGACCTGTTTTCTAAAAAACAATATATCTCGTAAGTTTTATTACAAGGATTTAAAGCAATTAGGAATATGAGAAGTTGTCTATATGGCTTCAGTTGGCAATTTGCAAAGGAGGCCCAGAAGGCCGAATATTCATAACTTCGTAAATACTACGTGTCTTCACACAAGTATACATATAGGTTGAGAAGTCTTCCAGCCAAGTACTTAGTGAAAGGTTGTAGGCTGTCACTAAACATTTGAAAAAAGAATCTTTCTATAGTAGACTGATCAGGACAGAAAGCTTAGTAGGTGTTTTTTTTTTCTTTACGTTAAGTAATTAAAACTTTACCGCGGACAGAGCCCTGATTGGTTGGTTTACTTAAAGCCAGCCAATCACTGAACGTTCTAAGTCAGAAACGTTACGATCGCTCGGGAGTCCAGTCTGTACCAAACTTTATATGCAACAAGAAAACTTTTTTACTAAGTGCATCTTTATACACATACCCAAACTGCCCATAATATATTTACTCATATATATACTTTAGATTTTTGACTAAGTATATTCTGTTAATTATATCCCAATAATAGTGCAATCAAATTAAATAAATATTAATTTATACTTTTGTTATCACTTACCAGGTAAAGGCGGTCCGGCTGCCTCTTGTCTTAACTCTACTTCTAATAATTTAAGTTGGTTATATTTGTGCTGCATCAGTTTCATTATCTTTTTAATGTAACCCACGTAATCTGAAATTTTAAAAAGGTATTAAACATTAGGGCAAGTCTAAAAAATTACACATTTCACATATTATGTGCACACACCCAGATTTTGAACACAGTTATTCATATACCTACTCGGAATATGTAGAGAATTAAGTAGAGACACATTGACAGCCGATTACAGTCACTGAGCCCTCATGATCACGGAATTGAAGATCACAGTTTCAAAGATGAGGATTATGCAGCTGTCCGTATTTAAATATGTGTCGTCAACAATAAGCCAACATCTACACTCGAATTTGGTGAAAGTATAAATGAATATATGAAGAAATCACCTTTAGGAAAATCTTGAGGGCTAACAAGTTCTCGGAAGAAAGCTTGTGCTTCGTAAGGCCTTTCATTAGGTGGCATATTTGGTTTGAACCAGAAACGTAGCGCGCGCGCTTCCCTTGTGTGGGTTCCTGTCGCGCCAGACACCAAATACACGTAGAATTCTAACTGCGCATGGCAAGGTTCCGTCACTCCATTCTCTGAAACATGAATACATAATTTATGATTACCAAATAGTAGTAACAAAGGTAGTAAGAACCTGCTTTTTATTAGAACTTAGTTTACAGTAACAGAGTACCTATATAATCATCATTCAAAGAACATATTTTCAATCCATTTCCCCATGTTATGGGTAAAAAATACCATAACACATTTTTGTCAAGTTAAAATTTTTCACTGCACTACAAATAAGTCATATATATTGACATAAACTTTAAAACTTTTTGACTCTGCAAATGGAATAAAAAGAGCTTGTAAAAAAAGGACTTATTTTTCACACTGCAAAATATACGATCCTTCTTTTAATAACCATAAAATGCTACATCAGTCTCATTATATTTATTGAATAAACATAAAATGAAGGAAGCTCCCTTTTTTTGGCCAAAGATTAAAATGGAAAATTCTAATAATTCTTCCTTGGCTTTAATGCTTACCATCCACACCTTATTTTGTGTCACATAAATAGTATAGTACCCTATGGTATCGCGTGTTGGATAGCATGTCGTAAAAACTGGGCCAAAGTAATGTTGAACTAATATTTATTGGAATCCGCTAAAATAGATGTTTATCATGAGAATCGCGACGAATACCCGGCAATATAAAAGTTTTTTAATAAAATAAATGCTGTGGTAAAACAACCTCGTGAAAGTATTTTTTCTCAAATTAACTATTGTCCTCTTTTGAATTTTCTACACCTTACAAATGACGATCGTTAATAAAATCGAGTGCAAGTCGACTCTGACTGTTCATTTATTCATTCAAGCAACAAAAGGCATGAAAATTCGTTGTGAAGGAGTTCATGTAGAATTTTTATTTTGATCAAAAATACATCAAATATACAGTTTATTTTAGTTAAAATACATCTTCTATCTTTAGAGATAGAAAGAGAAGACAGACTGGAGAGTCATAAAATATCAAACACGAATTTCATTTTTAATTGGGTTTGATGCCCACATGGACCAACACTTTGTGTAAGCCATATTTTTTTGTTTTTGGCTGCAATTATTGCTCTTGGTATAGGGCTCATGTGTAGGTTGTAGGTAAAATTGTATCTTTGTAAACACATAAACAATAAACCAAAAAATTTTCATGTGATGAAGGCAATATTTTTTCAAAACGCAAATTAAATATGTGCCCACTTCTTGCTTTTCTAACTCAATTCATTGAAATTTTACTCGTGAATAGGAATCATACCCATGAAACTCTGATTAAAAGTTTTATTAAGGTTGGAAAAAAATATCAATAGCACTTTGATAATTTGTCATAGTGAGCAACATGTTTAACAAAAAAAAAGACAACAGCAGTAGATAACTACTCATAACCAGAACAATTAATCCAATAAAGAACAATACTCATTGTCTTAATAAGTAAATTAATAAAGCAGCTGATAATTGTAGTTGAGGTATAATTCCATTCTTTGAACTGATAGACCTATTAGAAAAGCTGTATAAACTAACACATTTTAAATTATACATAATGATGCATTAAGGTTCAATTTCATTTGATCTAGAAACTACATTGTGCATGTGCATACTGTTTGTTTTATTTTTTTATTTAATTTTGTATGCTGTTATGGATTTGTTTGCTAATAAGATTTAAACTTGGTGAGCCTAGCTTAAATGAGAAAAGTGGTTTATAACAAAATGCCAATTTCAGTTTTCAGTTTATGTCATGTAAAAAAAACAATTGTTTACAAAATATCTAACTGTTGTAGATATTTTTTTATGAGCTGGTATACCAGACAGTTTCCATTTTATATGTCTTTGAAGGTGTATTGAACCAAATATTTATAATGATTATATTGGCTATAGAAATATAATAATAAATAATAATTTGCAAACCTTTTTATAAGAACAGATTTTCAATTCTCTATACAAAAGTTTAAAAATAGAATTTTTCACAGGAAAATCCTTAACATGATCTAAACTTGGGTAGCATAGTTGGTAAATATTATAAGGATAATATTTGAATGACAATTTATTTTAAACAAGCCTACAGGAAACAGCAAGGTCAAAAGTGATAACCTTTGAAACCGTTATAAAGATAAAATATAAAATAATAATAATTTAAACTTTATAGTGTTCTGCATGTTACAGTTTTAATGCATTAAAAATAATTGGTTCCTGATAAGTTTATTTATATAAAGGATTAACTATGATAGTTATAACTTCTTGTCACCTTTTTAAATTATTTCAATTGGTTTGTTTATGTTTTGACAAACAACTTAAAAATACTAACACAAAATAAAACAAAAAGTAATACAGGGAAACTAAAAAGTATTAGGGTGGGAAAAACTTACCATATTTTTTTTCCTTATTGATAATAATCCCTGTATGATCTCCTCCAGCCACATGGATTTTATCACTGACTTCTGGTTCAACTGCTTTCCTCTCAATCACCAGGGTTGTTGAATTTGCAGACTTGCATTTAGGTGTCATCACCACTTTTTCTTCCACTTCCGCCATTTTCTTATCTTCGAAGAAAAATAAAAGTTTAAATCAACCACAAAGCACTGCTAAGGATTAGATCAGCATTACCAAATTACGAACTATGACTCATTCTTTCCTCCCTTTTTATTAGTTTCATTTTTAAGAAACTGTGTGGAGAAAAGTAAAGAAATGACAGCGTCCGTGTAGCTCGAATAAAGTCAGGATACTTCTAATTCACTGTGGCTTTGTTAGATCGAACTTTCACAAGGTAATCATGTTTAGATCATGCGAAGAGGTAGGTCAGGACATGAAAGGCTGTGACATTGAAGCTACTATACCTTCACCTGTTGATTTCTAACACTTTGTTAAATTAACTTATTTAGGACACACGAGTCAGTTTCTTATAAGTTAAGAAAATCTATTAAGAAATCGAACATTTAAGAGTTCAATAAAACTCACAATAATATTTTTGTTCGAATCGTGTAAATTCCTCCTCCAACCACCACAGGTTATAAACACAAATCAGGAATGACAGTGACATTTACATATAACTATCATAAGATGAGCCTGGAGAATCTGTAACGAGATCCCATCTAAAAAATCGACTAAATGGTTAAAAACACAATATTTGTAATATACCACTATTGGTATTACCAGTTGTTTTTATGTCTTTTGAATATAAAAAATATACAAATAAAAGTATCATCCAGTATTGCATTAAGAATATTTTGGGGATAATATTTTGGGGGAATTGTAGTGAACGGGAAAGCATTTTTAAAGCTCAGAAACGGTGCTTGAGAGCAATGTTTGGCCTTAGAGTAACTGACAGCTGCGTACCTATATTCAAGTCTCATAAATTATTAACTTTTCCATGTCTCTATATACTAGAACTAGCAGTATTTGTAATAACTAACCGATGCTTATTTGTACCAGTAACTGCCATCAGACAGCGTAGTACAGCCTTAAGATCACAATATCAGAACCTCTTATCCACTGGTGTATTTAAAACTAGCCTACTAAAAAAAAGTGTGATCTGTATGGCTCCTATTGTTTACAATAAAATTCCTGACCAACTTAAAAACTTACCTATACTGAAATTTAAAAAATGTTTTACAGAATTACTTGTAGATAAATGTTATTACTCTGTGCAGGATTTTCTTAATGATAGACTATAAACTTAATAACCTAATTATAAAATTCTTAATAACCTAATTTAAGTTTTATATTTGCATGCCAACTGGGCCGAATGTACAAGGCTCTGTCATAACATATTGTACCATCCTATTCTTATGTACCTACATTCTAGCAAATAAAGATATATTAAAATAAAAAAAAGTAGATTCTGTGTTTGAAGAGTAAGAAAATATTGGACGTATAAAAATATGGTACTTGGAACTTTTAATACTTGATTTTCTCTTTGAACTGTTATTTTGTATTCAACTATTAATCACGAGAAACGCTACTTAAAAAAAAAAAAAAACTTTCACAATATTCTTATTATTTCAAAAATGTCAAATGTCAATGTCAACTGACGTACTGGGTACGTGAAGAGACTGATCGAAGTTCTATTTACTGATTTTTAAGTTCCTTTAAGTTAAAAAAACCGAATTAAATTAACTACTACTATCGTGATACTTATTTCTAATCGTGTTAAGGAATAATTTTCTTGAAATGGATATCAAAATCTGTTTTGTTGTTTTACTTTTTTCATTCATAAAACCTAGCACCGAAACTTTACAAAGTGTGAGCGATGATGATCTCCTTGAATTAATTAGGGAAAAAGAAAAACTTATTGTTTTATTTAGTAAGTATTAAAGGTTATTGTGATGCTATATCCATAACGTCTACTTTTAGTTGAAACGTTTTCGCCACCGGTGTTTAATGACAACTTAAATAATTAATAATAAACAAAAATGCTTTACCTCAATGTAATCGTAACCTATATAACAGTCGAACATTAGGTCGGGGATATCCTTAGGATACTAACACAAATTTTATTCTGCTGATATCTAATAGAATGCTTGAGAGAATAGTGACTCAAATAAGTGTTCTAAAAAAGTACTCACCTCCTTTGTGGAGGAAATTTAAACCATCACAATAATACAAAGCTAAGTGATTGTATTTACCTGTCCTACAATATTACACTTGCATCTTTTTCATTTATCATTTTGCATCTTTCTCTGCATAATATATATATGTAATAAAAATATAAAATGTACATGTAGGTACTAAGAATGCAAAGAATAAGTTGTTAAAAAAATACAAAAACACTAATCCATTTTCCTCTAGCACATACTACTAACATTTGCAAGATCAAAATATTCTCATTAAACAGTTATAGCTTTTTTACAATGAGTGTGTGTGTGTGTGTGTGAAGAGCTTTAACTTGAACTGTTTATAGTATAATTAATATTATTTTACTTTCAGGCAAACCAAACTGTGATACATGTGCAGCATTGGAAAATCATGTTGAAAGTTTAGAAAATGATTTTAAAAAGGAATTGAATGCTGTAAGTGTTAAGGCGATTAACAGTCACCTAAGTAGACTGTATAACCCGGCTAAGGATCCTGCACTTGTGTTCTTTAGACATGGAGTGCCTTTATTGTACAGTGGTAAGCATTTCAATTTGGTTGAATTACCTTGGTTGTAATTTTTATTCTATTAGGAAATTATTTGCATTCATAGATAGTGTTTGAATGAGAAGAGCTGAACATTAGGCTCAGTGGTATGCAATTAGAGAGACCTTTGTCCATCAGTGGATGGAAGTGGGCTAATGACAAGTAATATAACTTGTGGATCAGTTTAATAATTGTTGATTTTCCAACCCAAGATAATTACACTTTCTTCACAGTTTGGAAATCAAAATTTAAAAAAATAATAAATAAAAACCTGTTTTTATTAAATTTTTTTCTTGTAAAGAATTTTTTATAGCCTCAGGTTTTTTAATTATATGTTACTGTTATTCTTACCTTATATACTTTCTAGGTGAATCAGATGAAAATGAAATATATGGTTTCTTTGAGAAGAACCAGGCTCCTGCGGTAAAAGAGCTGACTGATAAAATATTTGAGCACATCACCCAGGCAGCCACCGGCGCAACCACTGGTGATTGGTTTGTTATGTTGTAAGTATCTCGACAACCATAAGGAAGATACTTAAAAATAAATGTTTATGTAACTTTTTCAACGTTTTATTTGTGGCAAGTGAACTTTTTTAGGATGTGCCGTTTTTGCTTGTTGGCCAGAATTCAAATCCTCAAATCTCCACCTCAAAATAACGCCAAACACTTTTGACTGCTTTGGGTTTGCAGGCGTAAATTAGCAAAGCCAATTGTTTATCATCAGATGCTCTCTTAGCTCTTCCAAATCCTATTTTTTGTTTGCTTTCATATGGAAGAGAAAATTACTGTGATTTCTAATCTCCTTTATAATTTTTATAGCTATGGAGCCTCATGTGTAGAGTGCCAGAGGTTGCACGCCGTCTGGGAGAGCGTGGGCGCAACTTTAAAAGGTCGCATCAACGTAGCACGCATGGACGCGAACTTGGCCGGTGTAAACACAGCAAAAAGGTTTAATGTCAACAAACTCCCAAGTTTCCTATTGTAAGTATTTAATTAATTCATTACTAGAATTTTATTGTTATATTTTATTCATACTTTTTAACTTTTATGTGTAAACAATAATGGTACTTAAGGAAAACGTATGCCATATACATATACCTTATGGGTATAATTTAATTACCAACTGAATTAATGTGATTACATCATCTTTGTGTGAAATAATCATAAATTGTGTAAAGTAGGTACTGAAATTAAATTTCTGTATATGTAATTAAAGTACTGTATGCTAGTGATTATGTGCCTAGCTTAGATTTCTTATTAAATACCTATGTATAAATGTTAAAATAGAATTCAGAAATATTTCTAGTAGAACGAAATTGTTGAAAGAATAACAACTTGAAAATATCTGCTAATGAACATAATATAACTGTATAAACTTCAAACTAAAAAAAAAAGAATAGTAATTGTTTCTGTAATTGCTGGAATAGGCCTTCATAGATGTATAGTTCTTCCTGAATTTTATTTTAAATGTTTTAAGCATCTGTGAAGAGATATATTTATTAAGAAACAATTGTTTTCTAGCTTCCGTCTTGGCAAGGTATACCGGTTCGATTTACCTAAAAAAGATGTGAAATCTTTCGTCATATTTGCTCAAGACTGGTACAAGAATGCTAAAGCTGAACCTGTGCCATTATTGGCGTCACCATTGTGAGTATTATCATAATAACTCTCTATTTCATTCTATTTTTGATTAAATATATTTTTTTAATTTCCCCTAAAATTTAAAATAGGATTTAAGTAAATTATAATACTGTAGAGCAGAAGCCACCAAAATATTTTTTTCTGTGTGCACTCCTCAGAGTAACACAGAGAATACTTTATTATTTATTATGTTTTTGGCTTACTCACGTAATAATTTGACAAGATACTCGACTAGTTTCAAGTGAGTAGGTAAGCCGAAAACATAATAATTAATTTAGAATGTCTCACGAAAGTTATAATAGAAACAGAGAATACTGTTCTAAACAGAAAAAGTTCATTGATTTATTATTTTTTTCTTACAGTGACGAACTAGTGGACTTTGCTGTCCAAATGATAAAAATAAGTGTGGCATTCACCCTGGACATGTTAACTGAGCATCCTTGGATATGGCAAATAGGAGTAGCCGGCTTTGGTTTAGTCGCCATTACCGCTATCATAGCCCTATGCAAAGCGGGAAAATCAAGACCTACAAAAGACACGAAAAAAGAAAAAAAGAGTAAATAAACTTTTTTTACTCATATTTCGTTTTATAGCAACTACAAAACTTATTTTTTACGCATTTATGTTTTTATTTAAGTATACTTTTTATACGTTTTTGCATTTACTTGTGATGTAAATATTATGCGGTGATATTGGGTCTGAATCTTTATAAGTTGTTAATATGTAATATTGCAGATAACTATAGTTTATTATATACATATATATCAGTGTTAAGAACACATGTGTACCTACTATCGCTCATATCAATATCTATTTTTATCAGTGTAATTAAAGACTTATTGTAGGTGATATACAAATATTTTGTTATTACATAATGAGAAGCTTACTTGAAACCAGATAATACGTCCATTTAATTTGTTTTAAATACTTAATCACAGAAAGTGTGGTTGTTATTTTATATAGGTAGTAAAGATCCAATGATAATTATGTTCAAAAGGTAGAGGAAAAGTATTATTATAAAAATAAAAACATATTGAGTTCATTAGTTTTCTTATTTTTATTTCACGTGCATTTTCTTAATAAATAAATAAATAGCAAAAGCCACAAACAACACTCATATCTCTAACTACAATTTAATTAATTGCGATAAGATCTATGATAAACATGGTTTATATAATTCAGCATCCTTGCCCTACAATATAGCAACATTTGATCTGTAATACTACGGACATTCAATAACACAAAGCTTTCATCAATAATAAATATGTAACTGTGATGTTTAAACTATATTTTACATAAATATCATTAGCTATAAAACAGTAACATACCTAAAAACATGAGAATGACTTATATAAACACTAAATTTTAAACTTTCTTTGTTGCAAATAACAATAGGAAGAATGCAGTTTAAAAATTGACCTAGTACATGTGTCATGAACAGCTCAGCAGGTTATGTGCACCTGAATAAATTAGTGAACTAAATTGGCTGACTTTCAATGGTTAGATAAAAGTTACTTGGAGAATAATTTTGATGCTGTCGCATCAGAATGTTTGTATAAGACAGTGACAGCAACAATTTTATTCCTCAAATAACATTTATCTGACTATTGAAAAATTAGCTCTAAAGTGAATAAATTCATGTTACATATAAAACCAATGTAGTTACATAATTTTCCTTTGTAAGTATTGAATATTTATTCAATATTGAAAATATAAACATTAGGCACGATCATAATAATATCTTCAATAGTGTGTAATGATGGGAATACATTAACACATTTAAAAAAATATGTTTGATTCAGTAAAGTTTTATACTAATTTAAACTGCTGTTTATTTAGTTAAAGTACAAGCACACACTTATAATTAAAGTAGTTACATCAGAAAATATAAATTCTGTGTGCAAACATTTAAATCTAGGATTATGCTAGATATTGCACCAATTAATTTAATAGAACCTAGAATGCAACAAATTTTAATTGTATTAGTTGTAAAAATAAACTGGTAGGACAATTTTATTACAATTACAAGAATAGCCACGAATTTAAAAATAATTAAGTAAAAACCTTTTCAAATAGATTTTTGCTAATCTAAATAGCTAAACATACTCAATGTACTTCAAACATACATATAATTAGCTAAATATTGCACTATTTTCAACTAATTAAAACTAATGTGTGTTAGTGAAGAGAGATCAGAAAGTACATAATATTAATATAATTAATTATGTTAGACTTATTTAATGGTCCTCACATATATTTATTATCCACCTTTTATTATAAGGAACATGAATCTCTCTTTAAAAAAAGTTGATTGTTATTATGTGTATTTGGGGTCACCAGCAAAAAAAAAAATACTTTCCTTACATGACCATATTAACATTACCAGTGGAAAATATAAGCAAATAAAGCTATAAGGCGATTAAGTATCACATTTTACTATAACTCAGTCTTATGTACTGAGCTCGAAAATGTTTGTGTCATCTCTCTAATTGTTAGAATTACTTTTTTTTAACACAATACTTTCAGAAAAACTCATACATTATCTACTTCAACATTTATCCTAAATACTGAAGCAGGGTCTGCCAGTTCAATGCGCACTGCATTCTCAAATTTCTTAAAAATATCTGAGAACTCCATTATATTCGCAGGTTTTGATTCTATCCACATTTTATCAAATTCATAGAATAAATAGCAATAGAATTTGTGAAATAAGTTAACATTAGGTAAATTTTGTTTTGCATTGAACATGTAAGTTTTTGCAGATCCGTCTTTCAATAAATAGTAAGCCATAGATGTGATATTTATACCAACAATAGCATAAGTGTAGCCATATTTGGGATGTAGCGAGTGGCTAAGAACATGGCTTGATACTTGAGGATATTCTGTGGCAAAATATAACAGGTTTTCTAGACCAAGCAGTCCCATACCACGGAAATCTGTTTTTGGATCATCACCCTGAAAATAATGAATAAAAATTAGATTTAAATAAAAAAAAAATATAGGTAAATCATGAATTGTACTTAAAACTATTTATATTCATCAAACTCCAAGTGTATGTCGCATACTTAATGTGCCTTACTATTGTGACCAATTACCACAGTTGATAGTATAAAGATATTTTAAAATGCTAACCTGGAATCCTATATGCTGCCACTGTTTTGTCACTCTTGCCTCAAGAGGAGTGTCAGGCACTAACAAAGACCATAACTTCAGCAACTTATCCTCATGATCATCATTAGTGCTATCATACTGGGTCTGTCTCAGTAGTTCCACTTGGTCTACTAAACTTCTGTAACTCCAAATTTGTTCTAAGCATCTTCGAAATGATACGACAAACGTACCATGAAGCTTTGGGTTTATTTTTTTCACCCTCAATATGATACCAATCGAGGGGTCTAAAATGTCACGAAAATAGCGCGGTATGAATCTTCTCTCATACACCACGCCGTCTAAGTAAGCTACGACCTCTTTCACATCTCTGGTGCGTGATTGCATCAATGATTTCTCTACATTACGGGTTCTTTCTGCCCCCGGTTTGTCACCGTAACAAATCCTCTGTAGCTCACACAACTTCGTCGTTTTTCTAAGAAACCATTTAATGAAAGGTCGAAGATACCACTGTAACACTGACCATAAATTAAACACAATCATTTCTTCAATGCTTATATCACAAGATACTTCGGCATTTATTGAATCGTTTGAAATTATATTTTTTCGATCGTTTCGGTTTCACACGGTTGTCATGACCACACATTTTTTTTAAATGTATCGTTTTCGGGTTGTGAAAGAACTGGACGTAGTTTACGTCAAAGTAATCGACTAAAATTTTTGTTAAATCGATTAATTTATTTGCTTTTACATCAAGTGGGTATAATGTTTTATACTTTTTACGATTCGTAAAAACATTTTCAGGTGTAAATAGTAGAAACATTATTGAATGTTATTAGATCAAACAGACCAATAAATTGTATTATTAATTTATTATTACATACTAAAAATATATAGACCCTTTCTTCCCTAGTTTGACGTTTCACATTATTTTAAATGTATTTTTTTTATGTGATAAGACGGCAAACGAGCAGACGGATTACCTGATGGTAAGCAATCAGCGTCGCCCATGGACACCCCAACAAAGAAGGAGCTACGAGTGCGTTGCCGACCTTTTAGGGATTGGGATTTTGGGGATTTATGGATTGGTAAGGGATTGGGCCTCCGGTAACCTCACTCACAGGGCGAAACACAACGTTGTGGTTGTTTCACGCCGGTTTTCTGTGAGGCCGTGGTATAACTCCGGTCGAGCCGACCCATTCGTGCCGAAACATGGCTCTCCCACACTTAAATCACCACCATGTGTGTAAAATTTAGATATTGGTTGCCATTCAAGAAAAATAAAAAGAAAGAGTAAAGTAATAAAGGTAAGTAAGTAAACAGAAGAAGAGTACAGATGGCGCGATTAGATAAATTCTTAGTGGCAAATAGCCACTTGGTGGTTCGCAACGCACTCATAATGCCTATGATTGAGATGATTACCTATCTGTTTATTCGATAAGATTATTTTATTGTCAGGGGCCATCATCAGCCATATAGGGTTACGTCTGTGTCTGGTCTGACTATGGTCTTGTGGCGAGCAACCCCTACTCGCCGTTCGCAGACCGGCGCTTACTGTGGTTCAATAAGATGACTTAGACTAAGATATGGCAATTTGAAGTTTTCCAGATAAATACGGTACCTATTTTACGACTTGCCCATCAAATACTAATGGAAATGCCAAGAGACAACAGATGTTTATTTGCAAGTATTGTGTGACTGTATAAATCTAACCGACTGTATAAATCTGCCGGTGGATGATGTGAAAATTTTTCGTCGGGATGTTTCGACTAGGGATTGGCGTAGTTCGATAGGTAGTGATATGGGATAAACTCTCCTTTATGGACCGTCGAGTTGAGTGTTCAGTTTTTGTAGATAGTACACATTAACAGAAGGCTTTTTACAAATTTTTGTGTTCCAACCGTGCGTTTCCCTTTAATTTTTTTTTAATCAGGACGACCCAACGACGCCTCCTAGTGCATCGCCTCGCGGTAGGTCTAGATCGCCAATTCAGTCAGAATCGAAAGTATCTATATACTACTGGATTTTGTTTATGTATAAAAATATTTGTGTAACAATCAAGTCTAATAATAGTTATTTTTTTCTCAGTGCCATTTTCACGGTGCCCTAAGGCGCAGTGCTGCGGTTTTTCGATGAACGTGGTGAACCGCTGGACGCTTCTGAAAATGTTGAATTTTTAGCCCCGGATACGCATTCCTTGTATGTATCAGTTTCAACTGGAGAAAGTGAGAGAGATGAATGCAATAGAGATGGATGCAATAGGAGAAGAACGAGTGGGCGAAGAGGTGGCCTAAGGGGTGTTAGGCGTGTGCGAGGGCAGAGTGCACGTAGGGGTGGGTATCCAAACCGGGGCCATAGAGAGTGATGTAAATGGGAGGTTGGATACCCACTAAATAAAATACGCAGACGTTCCCCCTGAATTGGTAAGTTTGGCGACGGCTGTATTGAGGAGACGACAGAATAGATTACAACAATTACAAGATGATGCCATGGTTGATAGAAACGCTGAACGAAGAGGGGATGATAGTGAGAGCGAAAATGATGATGAATTTCTAGACGCTAGTGAAGGAGCTGATACTCTTCCTAAACCGGAAAGCCAGAATCTTAACTTCTATGAATACCTTCCAAGGTGAAGAACACAATTTTAAGCCAGAGCGTACTGGTTCAGTTCGGGATTTCGATTCTGCTTATGGCGCTTTTTGTTCCTGTTGGACTGAAGAGGTCTTAGGTCTAATAGTGGCCGATACGAATCTATATGCCACTAAAATTGCACCTGAAACATTCTAGTCTGAATCGTTCCCTACTAATATACATGAAATTTTATGCCTATTTTCTTTTTGGATGATGTTAGGGATCATCAAAATGCCAATTATTACTAGTCGTTTTTCTGTTTACTACGTTACTCCGTTTCTGTTACTCCTGAAACATTCATCGATATAGATTATTTATGGGTAATTGGTATAATTCACCCCTATTAGCTAGATTTCCGTAGCTTAATAGTACCGCTTGCGTTGGTACTTTGAGACCTTCCCGCCGCGACGTTCCTATTTTAATCAATAAGGCTCCTCTTAAAAGGGGACAGTATATTTATTTTAAGTGTGGGAGAGCCATGTCACAACCGGAGTGATACCACGGCCTCACAGAAGACCGACGTGAAACAACCACAGCGTTGTGTTTCGCCGTGTTAGTGAGGTTACCGGAGGCCCAATCCTTCCCCGCCCCCAATCCCTCCTCGATCCCTAAATCTCCAAATCCCTAATCCCTACAAGGTCGGAACGCACTCGTTACTCCTTCGTTGCGGGTGTCCATGGGCGGCGCTGATTGCTTACCATCAGGTATTCCGTCTGCTCGTTTGCCGACCAATTACATAAAAAAGTATTACTACCGTTATCTCTGTACTATAAATATTTATACTCCTCGAAAATTACAGCAACATCAGACTAATAGTATCTTCGCATGACCGCACCACAGACAGACAGACATGGCGAAACTACCTACATAATATAAAGTATTTCCCACAAATGAAAATTATTTGTTTGTTGTTATATTAAATTATTAACTGTAAATAAATTTATTGTTTTGTTGTATGAAATTGTATTTTTATTCAAGAGAGTAATTCTGCACAACAAAAAACTATCGATAAAATATAATCAAAGTGAAGGAGCATCCCTAGTAGTTTCTATCCATCGTCTCGTCGAGATTATAGGGCTGATAATAATAAGAATCTAAAGCTCTTTTGTTAAACTATTTACATAATTAGACAACGTAGGACCTTGTTCTTTAGATCTTAGTGGAGTATTGTTTTATTTCTTGTGAAATAGCCTGCAAGATGGTTTCTAAATTTATACCAGTGAAACGAATATCATATTTCACTAAACATAATATTTTGATTGCCTGGTCGATAGAAAATATACGAATCAGTATATTGTTTTTTACAGAATGTAAAAATATTATTTGGATGTAGAGTTATTACATTCAGCGCCATCTTTGCTCAGGCGCTCTACCTGTCATAATTTGTCGGTAGGTAGGTAAGGCTAAGAACTCACGGAGCGATTTTCGCCCGCGTCCGCTGCGGTTGCGGGCCCGCAGCTTCTGTAGAATTCAAATATTTATATAAAAAATTAAAGCACATTTCACGACGCGTTTTACGCCCGCGGTGTACGCGGTTGTATGCGGCTCCCGCTGTACCGGCGGGCAACTAGTAGAATCGCGCGGGTCGCGGTTACCCGCAGCCTCGGCGGGTGGCACCCGCGCGCTTTGCGATCGGTTGGCGAGCGACCGCGGGGGCCGGCGGGTCTTCTGTGAAGTAAATATAACGCAACGGCTCGTTTCTGGTGTGTGTCCATGGCGGTCTGGACCTCAACTGATCGTTAACCGCCCGTCTTGCAATCTTGCGATCATCGCCCGCCACGTTTGCGGGCGATGATCGCAACCGCGGCGGCTGTGTAACCGCGCAAATAACCGGTCTCGTGAGTTTGGAAATAAAACCGCAGTTCCGCTACCGCGGCGGGCACGGTTCAAAATCGCTCCGTGAGTTCTTAGCCTAAGTGTCACGTCACGATCGAAGGGTTAATGATGTTTAAATGTTATAACATCAAATTACATACAGTAAATTATCAGACTGAGAGAAAATTAGATATAGTTTTTGGTCCTAAATCTGCAAATTTCAAAACTATCATTGTCCTAGTATGTAACGTAGATACCTAGGTACGGACCTTCTTATTAAAAAAACCTTGTTTAAATAATTATGAGGATACCTACTGGTATTATTCTTAATAAGTACTTACCTACATTACCAAAATTCTAAAGCTGATAGTATGGTTTCATAGCGGACTATGTATCAGCAAAATGCATGAGTGTACCTATCCAATGTCTGTGCCAAATTTCATCCAGATACGTCCAGCCGTTTTGGCGGGATTGAATAACAAACATCCAAATATACAAACAATTTAAAGGTTTTTTTTTGTGAGGGGAAAATCATCAAATGACTTCTCACGCCCAGGGCCGGGCAGGAGGGAGTGTCAGACTCTTACTGACTAAAAACCCCCCTGTTCCTTCTCCTGCTCTGTGCCGAGGTCGCGGTAACTCATTGCGCTTACCCCGCAACCCCGGCTGAACATCAGCCCTTTAGGGCCCCGTCTGTGGTGGTCGAATGGCTTTTTGAGGCGCGCGCGGAAAGCCGTACGGCGTTCGCTCGAGAGCGTACGCTCGGGCCTGGTTCTGGTCGGGCGGCGAGCTGCCCTTACTCGCCGACCGCAGGCCCGTGTTTACGGTGGCCGGAGATCGTCCCTCGATCCCCGACGCCCGTAGTGTCGCCAGTTGCGGCTGCTGGGGCGTGAGGAGGATTGCTCCCTCACGCGGGCCGCCTCTCTCTTTGCGAGCATGACTGCTTCACAAAAGGAGGAGACGGCGTCCCAGTTCTTCTCACTCCGCACCATGGCCTCGACTAAGGCTGGGCGCGAGAGGTCGCCGCCGCCGATCACTTCCCTGAGGATACGGCGGTGCTCAGCCCAGGCAGGGCATACCGCTACCGTATGCTCCACCGTATCCTCTAGGTGGTCCTCACAATGACGACACTCGGGCGTTTCCTCCCGCTGAATCCGAAACAGGAACCTACCGAAGCTAAACAATTTAAAGG